ATTTCCACCTGCCAGTTACACCAGTGACAGGTACAGTTGCTGCCCTTTGCCTGGGCCTTGTGGCTGCCTGTGCCATGGACTGCTTGGGACCAGCATTGTCAGAGCCTTTCTCTGCCTTCTCTGGGCAGGCACCACATTGCATCCCAGCATTAAGAGATGAGCATTCCAGTGTAGTTACTATATGTTTGTTTCCTGGGAAAAGTCCACAACACGATCTGATTCCCTGAGATGTTTCACGGACTAGAAGTGAGTCCTGTCTCTTCCTTTGCAATGTACTGGTGCATTGCAGTTTTTGGTTGCAGCAGTCCACAATGCTGCTTCTGAATTCTTTAGTACAGCTCCAGAACAGCACATATTTCATTTCCCAAAGGAGTGTGCTTGTTTAAAATGTGAACTGTGATGTGTGGATAATTACTACCAGATGGGTGGTGTTAGCTTATTTGGACACGCATACTCGAAATCCTTTTTCTGCCATGGTTTGCTCTTTTATATTGAGTAACTGTTGGAGGACTTGCAGTTCTTTACATGGAGGAAAAGCTTGCAAAAGGTAATTAGGACTTTCTGGCCAGGCACAGCCTATCTGTGGCTCTCAAAGCCTTGGTTTGCAGGCAGAGCAGAGGGCTTCCACACCAGTGCCACTCCACCTGGCCAGCAGTAGGAGTGTGCAGGGAAACCTGAAATAATTAGTCTGTCTAGTTGCACATCCTCTCAAGGAAATAAAGTTGCCTGTTTGGTGTAAAACTGCATGCTCCTGGATTTGGGATCTGCCAAGGAGCTGTGGGATGGCTGAGGAATGCCCATGTACTCGAGTGTGAGAACTGCTCAGAACGTGACATCTTAGAGGTATGTTTTCTCTGTCTTACTGGAGAATTTTGTATAGGTACATAGCCAGGAAGGTTGATTGCTTGCATGTTTGGTACAAATATCTCTTTTGTTCATTCTGGAATATGAGCTTTTGTAGAGCTTCCTGCTTTTAAAGCAGAGTGATGGAAACTGTTCAGACAATGATGTGTCCTAACCCCTGTTTGTATCTAAAATGACCCTAGGCTGGTCTGTTTAAATCTCAAGCTGTAGCAAAAACAGCTTGTTGCCAGGAAAAATGCTCTTAAGCCTGTAATTGGTCTCTATAACTGCCAACACAACAAACATGAATGACGAATTTCGTAATTTATTCCATTCCTGATTTGGTAATTTTTGTCATCTTGAAGCTGTCATGTTCTTTACTGTCCTACCTTGGACCTCATCTTTTTCAAAAATGTTGTAACAGAGCATATCACACCTTCACAACTCTCCTTGCTGTGGGGCACACATTGCTCTGAACTTGCTTGTCAAATTTTCAAAACATGTGAAGGACTTTTAACTGGCTAATCTTTCATGTAACAAGAATTGTCCAGGTCTCCTTTATATACTGAGAGTTCTTTTGTAGCATCCAATAGCAGAGATGCACTGCCTTATATCGCCTGTGTCAAACCTTTTATCTCCAAGCTCTTGTTATTGTTCCTTCCTATGGCTTCCATGTTTATGGCAGGGGAAACATTTTGGTTAAAGCTCAACCTACAACAGATTCTTTTTAAATAAGAAAAATAGGTACCAAATAATCTACGTGATCTGGGCATAAATTCATAAATTGTAGCAGAAACAATTATAAATGGGTATGAAGACCCTTCCTGAGTCTCAGACATCTAATTGAGAATAATCCCTATTACCAGATTTATCTGGATAACAATGCCAAAATTGCTTGATCCTGTATGCTTCCACTTGGTTCTGCTATTATCCAGTATTGATTTTTCAACTAGAATCTTACTAAACATAAACTAGAAGGTTACTGGATATTCCAGCTCAAAACATGTGCATACCTGTCTTTAAATTAAATTCTGAAGACAGGCCCTTACTGAACTATTCAGGTGCTTTTGGTATTTTACTGCACTTAGATTTCAGGTTTGGGAAGCTTTCATGTTTTCTTGGGCAAACCCCCTCATACCTGGAGCTTCAGTTCTCTCAGAACTTAGATAAAAGTGTGCTAGATTAACTGCTAGTCAGTCTGACTGCTTCGTGGGGCTGCTTAACCCCTGAGCAACCTAGTCTTCTTATTTTAGACTGGCAATCTGTATGGCTAGCTTTTTGTGAATGTATTCTTTAACAGGAGGTGATGATACAAATCTGTCTGGATTTCTCGGATTTACAAAACTATGGATGGGCAAGCTAAATATTGAGGCAAGAGGTTAAACACCACCAGTAAAAAGCAACAGGGCTTAAGAGCATCAAGAAACATTAAAAAAAATCTACTAAAGCAATGGTAGTCTATTTTATATTAGGTTTTCAGTCTCAGCCTCTTGTTAGTCCTTAGTATATTCTGATCTCACATGCTCTTTTCTCATCAAATTTCTTTAACTAAAAGCAAATGCAAAATGTGTGTACCATGAAGAAGGCCGTTTGGAAACACTAAACAAGAATGTTAGCGTTTCCAAAGGGTCTGCAGTGTGGTCCAGTCATTAGGGAAGATTTGATGTTTTACTAACAGCATGGGCAGAAAGAAAGCACATTCAAGGATGATGACTCTTTGAGAATTAGAAGAAAGAATGAATATGCAAACCAAGGGGAGGGGGCACTATGGGGAAAAAAAATCGCCTATGTGTGCTTGTGCATACTTCAGTAATGGACTAAGATACTGCAAAAGCTTTGGAAAATCCCATCAGCATGAAAATAAGTGCTTTGGTAGTTAACTTGATTACAGATCCACTACGTGATTGTGTCCCAGCATGTATGGATGCAGCATTCACATTTTCATCATCAGATGCTGTGTCCATGGTGGGAACACAGGTGTTAAACTGGAGTGAGATGACTCATCTCTCCTTTTTGAGCAGAGAAGCAGGGAAGACCAGGGTGAGTCCTTTCAATAACCAAGCTCTCTGGTCTCCTGAGATTTACCATGGAGAGCGAGGCGTGGTTTTCAATCTTAGCCCACTGACACTGTAAAAAGCTTCTAAGTGCTTAATATAAAATTGCAGCACAGCTACTTAATAGCCCTGCTAATGTGTCAGTGTCCAAATAACTGTTAAGACTGCTTAAGCTGAGTGATTAAAAGGGAATCTTTCCCATACCAGATCAAAAATATAACTATTTCTAGTAAAGGGCGGTCTGGTTCTTCTAATCAGCCTTTACAGCTGCAGAATAATTTCCTAAAACTTGCAGCAAATGAGAGTGTGTAGCCTAAAAATTACTCATTTTGATTAGTCTTGTGTCAAACCTTAATACATGACTGGTTTCTGGGTGCTCATTCTTTCTAGTTTTTCTTTAGAATGGTGTATTCTACTGCTTTATTTGTTCCTCAGGCATGCAGTGAGTATTCCTGGCCTCCAGAACAGGGTGTTCTTAAGACAGTAGCCTGTAGTCAGGCTGCAGTGAGAGTGACCAAGAGGAAATAGGGAATCTGCTGTAAAGATGAGGTCTTTCCTGGGGAAACCCGGGTGCAGGTGTGGCCCTACCAGTCTGTGAACTCCTCTATTGTGGTCAGTTGTGAATAAGTCTGTGTGATTTTTGGGCCAGTGTTTTTGGGGGGGGGAGGGGAGTTGCCTTTTTCTTTTTTCCCCTCTCCTTTTTTTTTTTTGTCTTTCCCCTAATGTATCCTGGCTAAAGGAAGAGCATACAAGTGAGTGCAAAGGGGCTATGAATATAAGTGCGGGCATTGACAGAAGCAAAGCCACTGTATCTGTGAGTCTCCCGTTCAGCTCAGGCCTCCTCTGGCTTATTTGTGCATCAGCAATTAGGTGTGAAAGCAGCGTATAGCGAGCTCGAAACGCCTAAAAAGCAGCTCCGTTACCTGCGGAGAAGGACAGTGTTCTCTCTGCGATCCGGGCTGCCGCTGGAGAAAGCGGAGATCGATCGGTCTAATCATGTCTGGGGCTCGCCTTTCATAAAAGAAGGGCTGTGGCTTTAAGTAATCGCCGGCTGGCTGTGCCAATTGCAGAAGCTGCAGTATCTGCCGCTGTCGGGAGCGACCGGCGCGGCAGCAGGGTAACCTGCGGAGGCAAGGTCCAGCCCGCGGCTCGGCCGGACTGCCCGGCTCGGCGCTGCCGCCGCCGCCCATGAGGGCCGGGGGCCGAGCGGGGGGGCTGCCGGCGAGGGAAGATGGGCTGCTCTAGCAGCAGGCTGTGCCTCTATTCTCAGTGTGCTGCAGCAAGGGTAATGAGTGTTTGTTTCGCAGCTTTGCCGGCGGCAGGGGAGCAAGGTGAAGCACCCTGCCAGGAGGACGCGTGGACCTTGTCAGCCCCGCGCCGAGGCCGTGGGTGTGGGGTGGCGGTGCCGAGCCTTGGAGCAGCCCTGCCGTGGCTGTGCCTGTGCCGCTCCCTGCGCTGCGGGTCTGGGGGCACAAGGGGCCTGACCGGCCACCTTCCCTGGCCAAGGCACAGCTCCCGGGAAAAGCAGGGAGATGGGTGCTACTGCTTTGTTACGGTCTGTTCGCAGATTCCTTATGATTGTCTCGGTGTGAGAAACACCATCTATTGTAACATTAAGAACTGCGAGCAGAGGAGTGGGTTGTATTCAACTTTGAACAGGGCTGTGCCTTTCCTTCATGGAAGACTGAGTGTTTAGCAAAGTTTTTGGTTTTGTGTTTGAGTAAGCTTAAGATAAATATTTAATGCATGCCTCTTTCGCTTATACACTGTACTTCTGTGCCCTTGACAGCTATCAGTTGATTTGTTCTGAAGGCTTATGTTGCTACACCCACCATAAAATATATAATTAATTGCTGCAGAGTAAGGTTTTAACTGCGGTGTTATCCTGGAAAAAGCTTTTCTTTGTTTTAAAGTATAACTTCCTTAACAACAGAAGAACATCTGTATATATTGTAACAGACAAACTGTTATTGTGATTCATATCTTGGCTTCTTGTTCCTACCTCTTATTTTCCTGCAGAACACGTGTAAGTTAATTGTTGGAAGGTGCCCCACTCAGATCACCAGTAACCAAATGTTTGCGTTTGTTTGTTTTTCTCTGCAGAGGGAGGAAGCACTGAAACAGCGTAAAGAGTTATCTCAAGAGCTAGTTAACCTTCGAGGAGAACTGGGTAAGAATTTATTTTTGTATTTTTCATTAGAACAAAAATGAGGCAAAACAGAAGGACAGATGCCCTGGTATTGTAATGACAGCCATTTAATTCCCTGACTGAATTCCGCTCAGAAGCTTCAAGCGCTGTGGAGCCCTGACAGCGTGACCTCAGGTTCACCGAATTCCTGGCACTGATCTGACTGCGCCTAGCGGGGCCTCCTTGCAAAACACGCATCTGATGACCAAAGCACTCGCTTTTTGAAAATGGGAGGATAGCTGACAGCATAAATACTTCTGTTTGATCCCTAACTTGTTTGTATGCTGTCTTTTGGAGATTTGCTGGCAAAAAAAAATATATACTGCACAAAATCTTCATTTTTGCTATAGTGACTTGTAGGTGGATGAGTATAAAATTAAGGAAATGCTCTCAGGCTGATGAGATTAAGCCTTTGAACTCATTCTAGTGGACAGCTATAATATGATATTGAGCTATAATATGCACGGGCTGGTATGGCTAACTTTGAAGCTTGATTTAACTGCATTTAACTCAAAACCAGATCATCTTGTGAAGTGTAAAAAGTAATTGCATTGAAAATGATAGCACTTGAAAGTAAGGATAGTCTTCTATAAAAACACTTTTCTGTTATCATGAAACCTCTTTAAAAAATAAATAAAAAAAAAGCTTTGAAAGCAGAAGTAATACATGTGGAGCAGTGTCAGATATGACACTGATCAAGAAGTTGGAAATACTTGTTTTCACATGCTTTGAAAGTTGAGAATGGTCTCAGGCAAACAAGTGTGAGTGTAGGTCTCTTTAGATGCAGCTGGTGTGTTTAATGTTCAGATTTAATTTTTATCACTGATTAGTAAGGCAGAGGTTCCCTGGCAAGTGCTCAGAGTTGGAAGTGCAGTGGGGAGGGAGAGGTCTCCCTGTCTCCCAGCTGAGGCAACAGAGCAGAGCTTCTCCACTTGCCACTGTTCCTCTCATCCAGTTTAGTGGATTGTGTTAAAATGCAGTTTTCTGCGAGCTTTATTTATTGTTGCATAAAACTGCAAGTGTGTGAACTGAGGCAGTATCACAAGCAGAGAAAGAGTTGTAGCCTAAGTAGGTAGGTGAAATTACCAAAGACACTCCAGAAATACGTAGTGTTTCCTTTCTCAGAACCTTAGTACTAAAAAGCTGAGGCTTTTCTAGAGCTGGATGCTGTCTGGCATCTGTCAAGCTGCAGCTTTTAACCCTCCTGCTGAGATGAAGCACCTGGACTGCAGTTTTGCAGTTGTTCCACACAGGTCTCTGTAGGGGCTGGCTTTGAAAGAGCCTGGCCTTCCTCTGCCTTTGCATCCCTCTCCCTGGGCAGCTGTGTGCCCAGCCATGCAGTGAGCTAGCTGCCTGGGGACCTAAGCCAGCTGAAACTAGTGGCTTGAAGTGCTGTTCTGCCAAAGCTGCCTGGCCTGGCTCACTCAGCATGTGGCTGAAGGAGCACTGGTGCTGGAGCAGAGAAAGAGGAAGGAGCAGGAAGGTGGAGGGCCGTGTCCCCCATCAGCTGCAGCCAGTGCTTCTGCTACCCTAAATTGACAATAGAAGTAGAGTTTCAGTGTGGAAATGGGCTTCTCACATCACTACAGAGTTCTGTTATAAACATTATAAACTAGGTGGGTTTTTTTAACGTACGTGGCGTGACTTCCTGAGCAAACCCATTTGTTTACCTCATTATGAAAATGACTTCAGAAGGATTGCTATCAGAGCAAGAAAGTCTCTTCCATAGGCTTGCATCTTCAATATTATTTTTCTTTTATCAACCTAGCTACTATATTTATCACTTATCTGGAAAGGGAAAATTTAGCTGAGATGGGTAGACCAAAAGCTAGTCAGCACTTTTACCCATTACCATTTTGGGGGCTTTGGGGGAGGTTGGGGTACCTTCCTGCTTTGAGTAACAGCCTGCTGAGCTCATTCAGGGAACTCGCATTGCAGGAATGAATATGCCATTCAGTAGGTTGATAACTAGAAAAAAACTTCAAGTGTAACCGTGCCTGATGGATCTGTGACACCCGAGTGCACAGAGCTCTCAGACGGGGATGCTGCTGGATGAAATCATCAGCTGTTCCCCTCACAGACCTGATTTTCCTGGGTCAGTTCTGCAGGAACATCTGAATGGCAGCCTCAGGCTCGCTTCCCTTTGTAAGGTTTCCAGACCATGGTTTCAGTGAAGCATTTATCTTCATGCAGCTCCTTTGTCTTAACCACGTCATACGTCTAGCCTGTCTGTACTGCTCTCCTCAGCATGTAAAGGGAGTGGATTTAATTACAGAAATGAAAAACTACATAGGTCTTCAATTTTATGTAGCTTCAAAAATAACTGGGTTTGGGGTTTGTGTTCTTTTAAAGTTAAATTTATCACTTGTTGACAAGGTGTGAGAAAGGCATTCTTGTAACAGTAGCTTTAGCTGAAAATAATCAGCTTAAATACACACCTGCTAATCAGCTTTCTATCGACACTGTTAAATGGATATAGCTGATCTTAACATTTCTACAGGTTGTTTTAACCAAAGTACTGTGAATTTTGATTCACAGTAGGATCTGGGTAGAGGTTGGCTCAGACAGTGCAGTTTGAATCTTATTTTGGCCATGTGGACATGTTCCATGGAGTCCCGGCTGCCATGTTTTAATGCCTGTTGTTTTGCAATTTGGGGACAGTCTCAGAAGAGGAACCAGGTGTGCCCAGCTCATGCCCTGCATGTTGCCAAGTTTAAGGGGAACATGAAGGCCCTGCAGCTTGCATCCTGCACAGTTTGGATTTGTCAGTTTCTTGCTTTGAAGTTTAATTGTGCACACTCCCAAGCTCCTGGATTTGCCTGGCAAAACCAATTTGGCTTGCTGTCAGATGGTCTGTTTTGCTGGGTTATTCCATATGACCCTTTCTATCAACATACCTTTGTTTTAATGACTTGGACATGCATTACCGTCCCAGGACGGGCCTTTGGCGGTGGCCGTGTGGCTGTGCTGACCGTAGGGCAGATGGTTACCACACGCTGCTCTCTGCTCTCACTGGCTGAAAATGCATGCAAGGATTAGCCATGATAGGTATTTGGGGATGGGCTTTTCCAAAGGGAGTTCAGATTCTTTAACAGTTGGGTTCTGAACTTGGGTTTCTTTAAGAACTCCAGCTACAAAGACTAAACTTCATGGTTTGAATGTAAACGCCTTAGTTCTGGGAGCCTGGAGCAGGTAGGGATGTTAGGAGCAGGCTAAGTGTATAAATTACTTCTAGTTCCTTGTTTAATTACGTAAGTAGAAATTGCAAGAGCCGCATATTTCTTGAGAGGTACGAAACTACTCCTCTAAATTAATTGCACTCCAAATTGTTTCAGAGCCTCTTTGCAACCATGCTGGATGTGATCCAGCTCCGTCCTGCTACAAAACAGCAGGTGCAAAGCTGACTCAGCCTGTGCCCGCCTTGGCCCTTTGAAAATTGCCATTCGTGAGCCTTTCTCTGTGGCCTGGAGCAGCCTGAGTGTACCCTGGACAGCCACACAGATGCTGATCTCCTCTCTCTCCCCTCCAGTTGCTGCACTGAAATTGATAAACTATTTTCTTCAAAATACCTTCATGCTCTCTTTTTGTTACTAATAAATTATCTTAAAAATGCTTTGGAGGTTTGGGTAGAAGAGACTATTGTGTTTTACAGACAGGTGGAATGAATGTGTTTTGGTTTTCAGGTTAAAAATACTTAATAAATAATTCTTTCAATTATTTGAGGCAGGGCCTAACTTGCCACATGTCATACAATTGCCTGCTGACACTTGCAGTGTTTGCAGCATTGGGGATGGGAACTTACTTCCTGATGAGTGAATGCTTCACATATTTATTCAATCATACCGCTTAAATGCAGCTTGAAGCAGGCTTTTTTGGGGTACTTGCCTCGTCTCAAGTTGTCCAAGAACAAAAATACAAAATGTGGCTTAACGTCCTGTATCATTTGCCTCATGGTAGAAGTGACAGCAAGAGAAACTTTGTCAGAAACTTGAAACCTTGTTTGTGTAGAATTTTCAATATTGAGAATCTGCCAAAAGCATAAATTAATTACTAGATAGATTTTAAAATATATATTGTGCGGAGAAGGAAACGAGCCTTTGTGACTACAGTAGATGTACTGAACATACATCTTGCAGTCTGACATATAACATTTGAGCAGTGAAGGGTTAGTGCAGTGTAATGTCACGTAATGCTAAATACTTGGGGTTTTTTGTGGTAATTACCCCCCTTTTCACATCCCCTCATCTATTAAAATGCTGCCAGCTTACTGTCCTAGTGAACTCGATTTCAAAATTGCAGTCAAACGCCTTTTCATAAACCGTAACTAGGCCAGTGAGTGACTTGGGACAATTTTATGAAGATAACTATTTGTTACAAACAGTTTAATTCAGGGTTCAGAAAAAAGTCCAGTATATTTTATCTTCTTAGCATTATGGTTATGGTGACTTTTAGGGGAATATAAGGTAAAAAATGTTTTATCTAAGCAGTTTAGCCATAAGGACTGTTTATAATTAGAAAAAAAAATTGGAAGGAGATATTGCACAACTATAAGGTGTGTCTCCTGGCTACTTCTAGTGGAAGAATGAAATACATTTGTTGGGGATACAAAGGCAACTTTTTGTAGCCCTCTCCTTTAGCTGGAGTTAGTGTTGATGTGGTTTGGATCTGCTGCCGTTTGCACCTATTGCAGGGAGTTGCAATGTGCCTGGTTCTCCACGCCTCTCTCTTGCAGGCATTTGTTTTATGATTTTGGCATGTAAAAAGCTTCGCAATGAAATACCCAAGATGCAAGTGGCCATTGTTGACTACTACAGATGAGTGGTAATTTCATGTGTCAAAACCAGCATTTCTGCTCTGAAGATAATGCTGTTACCAAATCTCAGAAGCTTCCTGTGATTCCCAAAAGTCGTGGTTCTGCCCAAAAGAACCAGGCTCTTAATTTTTAACAAACAGTGTTAAGAAGCTTAAAAAACAGATTAATCTTGCTCCATGTTATAGTAATACAGGGAGAGACTGTTGTATGGTTGGGAGGAGAGGCTGAGACAACCAGGTGGGGAGAGAATATTTATGGCTCCGCTATTTGAATAAAGAAGTAAATATTGCTTCTGGCTGCCAAGTACAGCATTCCATATGCTCTGTCCTGAAAGCTTAACATGGTTTAGTGTTACAGGTAAGATTGAACAGACTGTGAACAAATGGATAGCGCATCTTTTTGTCTTTGTGGCTTGATTTTTCTCTGAAATGCTGTGGGACCATTTGTTCCCTGTTAACTTTTTTTGCTCAAGGTTTGTGGTCTGATGTGTGGCATAATGAAGATGTGGAATTGCAGAGGAAAGCACTTTAAGAAGGGAAAGGAAGCATAGTAGTGGTGTACAAAAACCCTGAAGTATGCCCTTCAGGTATCTCTGAAGTGGCTGAGAAGTTGAAATGGAGATTTGTGTGTGTGCACTACTGGAAAATCACGTTCTGGTTACAAATTTTTGTTGAAAGTTAAGCATCAGTTCAATGAGGAGACTCTTGAGTAGCCGTCGAGTTTGGTTAGTCAGGAGTTTTGCAGTTATCTCCTTGCAGTGGATAGATGGCCAAACTAAGGAATTAGGGACAAATCATAAAAAGGGTAACTTTCTTAAAACAAGGCAGAACACAGTCATAAAATACATGATTCAGTCTGGAGATGGATAGGACTGTGCCAAATATTTGCTGCAGACACTTCAGTCTCAAGTATTATGGGACTTCTTATAATTTCAAATTAACAATTCTTTAGTTGGTGCTTTTGCTGAAGCTTCATGCTTCATGTGGTTATTTTCTTGCCACCACCATGATACTGGGAGCTCACTGGTTGTTCAGTAGTTCTGCTTCCTTGTTTGGATGGCAGAAATTCAAGTCAGGCTTGCGATCCACAAGGAAGTGTTGCAGCCTCCAGCTTTGTGGAGGCCAGACATTACCTTTAAGGTAACAACACTTAACTGCCAATGTAAGTTTTAAAAGTTTTTGTTTGCCTTTGTGACATTAGTCTTCTCATAAATCTGAATTGCAAACGGCCTGAAGGGGAACTGATGCATCTATTTTCTTTGACAAAGGTGTGGTTTGCTATTTGCTTTTTTTCTGAAGTGCTTTGCATCATCTGAAGCTCTCTGTGCTGACATTCAAAGATAAGGCAATGACAGGCAGCACATTCTTTTAACTCAATGGAGGCAAATGAATAGCTCTGACCTTGCAAATAAAGAATTTGATGCTTACTTTTTCCTCTGTTGCTTTTAAATGAAGTGGATAATTTGAAGCATTTTACTACAGTTACCTTAAGTGAGGCATGCAAGTTTGTGTGTTTCCTCTCAGCTATGCCCTTACTCTTGCTATAGAAGGTCAGATGCATGTCCATGAGGTTGGCTCTTGTAGTATCTTGGTTTGGCTTGCTGCCTGGTTCTTTGCATTATAAAGTGATGTCCCATAACAGTGATGTTTCCTCTTCCCCAAAAACATGACAATGCAGCACATATATATTCAATAACTTTATGCCAAGGTGATGTTACAGAAGTGTGAATGCTAATTTTTTTTTTTTTTAAAACTTTTCCCCAATGAGAGCATTTGTAAGAGAAGTTTGTGGAAGGAATAAAGATAGGGAAGTAAAATTTTTGCTTGGTGGTGATATAGAAAGTATCCAACACTGTGAAATCTGCTTGGGTTGCAGGGAATGTTGTGGTAGGTTTTAGCTGAGCCTCTGTTGCATCATTGCCAGAATGAAGAGCTTGGCTTAAATCTGTCCAGATCAGCAGATCTTTCACACAGACCCAGAACTGTTAAACCTGCTTTTAGGCCTAATTCAGATAGACACACGTGCACATCAATTTCCATGCAGTACAGCTCACTCTCTTAATGCTTTCTAGTTCAACTGCAGGTTTCAAGTGATGATAGTAGGGCCAAGACTCTTTGCAGTTTCCTTAAAAGAGAGTGCAGGTATAATTTATTGAGTTACTCACATGGTTTTAATGAGCTGTAGCAAAGAGGGAATCAGATGTGTAACTAAAGGTGCTCTGCTGGGGCAGGCTGCTTTCCCTCGAGCTGAGCCCACTTATGCTTTGGAAATCAGTCCTTGAAGATACTGTAATTTATTTATTTAAGGCTCAAACAGCTGTGATGAAAATTGCCTGTACTGCCTGTACAAAAATCCTTAAATCTTCCCATGCTTTTACAGAGTTTGTTTTCATTGTTTGGGCAGCGTGCCAGGCTGCTGAGGAGCGAGCGCATGCATGCATGACTTCTCCTGTCTTTGAGGATCACATTAACGTTTTAGTTGATTTTTCTCTTAAGCAGTCACTCATCTGACTAATTTATTTTAAACCAAAGTACTGGAGTCTGTATAGAAGCAGTTTTGCTCAAGGTCAGTGACCACACTCTTATATTAGAGATCCTGTTTCACCTTGCTTCCAGGCTTTGGTGCCGCTGGAACTGCATAAGGCATTTGCTGCAGTCATATTAACCATAGGAAAGTAACTCCTCCTATTCAGGCCTGTCTAGTTGGAGATGGGAATACTAAATTTCAAAGTCAAAAAATAGAAGTTACTAACTTCTGTTTTGCCTTTTAACCAGCTGCAAATATGGGGAGACAAGCCTAGGCAGTCTTCATTGCATACCTGTGTTAATACAGATGTAAAGAGAATTACACAGCATTTCTCTTTTCTTAATACTCTACACTTTTTGCCTAAAACTGTTCTGTATCTTGCATATTTAAATATTTCAGACATACAAACATTAGCAGTTTGGCAGTTCTGTATCGGGCTGTCCATGTCAGGCCAGAATTGCTTCTCTGCTGTATATCTGAGCACGGGTAACATTGAATGTGTAGTTTTCAGGATATTAAGACTTTCAAATTTAGCAGAGTGGTTTAGATATAAAAAATTAAAGTACTCTGACAAACAAGCTACTGAAATGGGATCAAATTAGGTGAAGTAGCAAATGCAATTAATTTTTTTATTGGAGCACTTCAGTCTGTCTCTTGAGACATTCATTCTTCTGTGACATGACAAACTGTCACACTTGGGCTTTCTGTGGGGGTTCGTGGCTTAACTAGATTCAATTAATTTGCAGCATAAGAAACACTGAATTTGATATTTTTGCGAAGATCTTTTCATGTGTCCTTGGAGGTGGCGCACATCTCATGGATAAATCATATTTGTCTTTGCAGAACCATGTTGCTGTGAAATGTGTCTTTAATACCTCTAAATGAAGATATGACATTAGTATTAACTTGATCCAATTACTTTTTTTCTCTTTTTTCTTTTGACATCTTCAGTAACCACTTCTGCAGCTTGTGAGAAATTGGAGAGAGACAGGAATGAACTGCAAATTGCTTATGAAGGGTTTTTGCAAAAGTTAAACCAGCAACATCATGATGACTTAGCTGAGCTGGAGGAGAGGCTTAAACAGTTTTACACTGCAGAATGTGAGAAACTCCAAAGTATCTGCATTGAGGAAGCTGAAAAGTACAAAGCACAACTCCAGGAGCAGGTTTGTAATATTCAAAGTAGAAAAGTTCTCTAGCAGTTGATTTCTGCTACAAATGAGTCTTCAGAGAATCCTGGGTTTTCTAATAACAGAACTACTTAATTTAATGTGAAATTCTACTTCATTGCAGCTATAAAAACACTACTACATTAAACTGTACAGAGCTTAAGCTTATGTTTAAATGTGGTAGAGATTCCTTGTGTTCTGCCAGCTTCAGTAACTTCTAGAGCTCCACTGGATATTTGAAGCAGCTTGAACCTCAAGATTTATAGAAACGCACCTACCCTCTGGCGTTGCTTTGCAACAACTCCATGTGTGTGACAGATGCACACATCATCCTGTTGGTAGTGGTAAACTGTAAGGCATCGTTTTTGTTTACTGAGTGTTGCACCTGGCTTAGCTTCTCCTGTTAAATCCTACTAAACCATTTAAATGTACTCAGTGTAATACATAAAGTCATTGAAACCATGCTTTAAAAAAGGGTTGATACACATAAGGGGATAAAAATCACATTGCCATATTGCAGGTGGACAACCTAAATACCACACATGAAAGCTTTAAGCTGGAACTCGAAAACAGACACTCAGAAAAAGTGGAGGAGCTGAAAAAGGAGTATGAATCCTCTTTTTCAGGCAAGTATTTTGTATTCAAGTGCACGTGCTATAGTACTGCTAGTCACAGACAAAAATATTCAGGCTTTCTGATCAGTATGTCCACTTCATTGTTCTTAGTGGCAAGATATCTTTAAAAACATGGCTGAACTCCTTCCTTTGGAACTAACAAGCCTCGTTTTACATACAGCCATAACCATGATCCCATTGTAGTTGAATGAAACTTTTAAAAACGTTTGAGTGGAAGTGACTTTTTCTTTCAATAGAAGATGTCAGAATTGCCCTCAGTGTCTCAAGTGACTGGGTGATTCCTCCTACTCTCTAGTTCAATAAGGAGCACCTCAGAATTCAAACTGAGGATAAGTAGGGTTGTATGCTTTCCACAATGACATGGACATTATACGCTGTGTGGCAGTACACTGGGGCAAAAGTGGTTTTTCAGGGAGGGAGTGGTGAGTGTGCTCAGGTTTAAATGACACTGCATCTCACTGATTTAAGTGATGATGATTTCCATCCTCCTTCCAACTCCACTTAATAGCCAAGTTTCCAGTGACACTTTTGTGTCTTCAAAACTGGTGACGCTTCCACTGCTGTCAAAGAGCAAACTCCTCTGCATGGCATCTCTGAAGTAGGAAAGAAAATTTTTTCTAGAAGCTTGTAAAGGACACAACTTCAGTTTTTGCTGTGTTTCCTTCCAGAAACTCAGCTTTGGTCAGATGTGGCTTGTGCTTAATAAATCCACTTGCTGCACGCAGATGAATGCTTTCAAAACTGACATGCTCTCAGCTAATGAAATGAATATGCGAGGGACAATCCACAAATCTAAAGTGGCAATAAATCTGATACTTCATACGTGCTTTGCATCAGTTAATGATAAATGTCATTTCTGTATTGTCATTGACTCTGCATCTGTGCATATGTGTATAAGCTGGCTTTACAGGCTGTTTCTTTTCAAAAAGAATTTTCACTTCTTATATTAAAAATCTGCAAAAATAACTCGTTTCAGAGCTCAAGAGCACGCATGAATCTGAAAGGAAGTCACTTGAAGATTCCTTTAAAGAGAAGCAGGAATTGCTGGAGGTTTGTTAAGGGCTGGGGTCATTGCAACAGTCTTAAATCTTGAAAGGTGGTTTGTAGATGTGCAGTCAATTCTTGGCCTAAGTATACCATGTCTTTTCATTTCAGAAAAAAATCGATGAACTAAAAAGTGAAAACGACTCTCTGAGTGAGAAGCTGAAATTAGAAGAACAAAAACAAATAGCCAAAGAAAAAGCCAATCTTGTAAGTCTTGATCTTCAAAAGTAATGTGGATGAGCAGATCTTGCCTGGGTTTATGGCAAAATATGAAAGGTTTGCAGTCAAGCCTGATAGGAGTCCCATACTTAGTAATATTTTATATAAGTGCCTCACCTACCAGAAGTTTCTTGTGAGTGCTATGATGCTGTCTATGAACTTTACCACTATAAATCTGTAAAGCTGTTGAATATCTAAGTCAGGGGTGTAAATAATAGCCTAAGTTAAATTGAAGATCTATGCCTATGCAGAATTTGTACCACAGCTTTTTTCTGGACAGTTGGTAGCTCTTCTAATGGTGCTATGATCAGTGTGGGCTTGCATCACTACTAAAAAACTCTCTTCTTGTACTTGAGTCTTTAATGCATTTATTCAAACATTGATTTGTACTTGTTTCTGATTTATCCTTCAGATAAACTTTTGTCCTGCCTTTGCTCCCAAGGCTGCTGTTGCTCTTGGGATAGGAATGTGCTCTTAGAGAGGTTTTTTGTGCACTGGGAGGGTTAGATACAAACATGCTTATCTTTCTGGTTACCCAGAAATAACTGGAATACCAGTAGTATTGTTTATTACACAAAGAGAAATTCCATTCCTAAAAACTCACCTGGGATGCCTCCAGTAGAAGTTGCCCTAGTTTTCACTGGAATTTAATTTGTTTGGGTTTTTTCATCTTACTGCTTGTTCTAGTGGCAGGACAGAGCTGCTGCAAGAAGAATACGCAACCACAGTATGTTGCTGTGTTAGTGGGATTTTGAACTGCATTCCACAGGCATGCTCAGATGTTGTTTGAGTTAAAGGAGCAATAGCCTTTACGTAGCTGCAAATGCACTTTGCATCCTGACAGTATAAGATGCATCATAAGCTTGAGGCTTCTCTGTGGAGAAGTACCAGTTTGACTTAGCATCTTCTTCTGCACTAAGCAAAAATTCTGCACTATCAGAATTTCCAATAGCCCTTTGAAGACAGAGATGTATTTACAACTGTCTGGTGTCCTTTAGATAGCATCACTTGATATTCCCAGCTTTTTTCTAAAAAGTTCTGTAGACCTTTCAGTCTTTTTATTTGACTGTGTGTTCTGCTATGAGTAGCTCATGTAGGTGCTCAGAGTTCACTTCAAAAAGACATTTTGAGGCCACTGGGCTAGAGGAGGGAAAAGACAATAAATTGAATATTGAACATATACTGTAAGTTGCATTTAAACTTCTCAGGATTGCTTTTCTTGCTAGCTCCTGGCTTCCATGGTAAGTCACAAGAGGGAGGAAGGAGTTGTCTGCTGCCTTCACTGAGGCAGCACAGCATGCAACAGTCCTTAAAAACAGGCAGGAGAATGAACTGCATAGGTGGTGGAACCCCTGTTACCTGTGATATGTACTGTCCCTGTCCCTGTGGGACTGTGCTCCACAAAACTGCAGGCATTGCCATCCAGTACGTGGTTTCTTGCAAGGCAGTGAAGCTGTTATTCAGTGCACTGCACTTGTATTCTTACCCAAATACACTAAAACAAGTTTTGCTTAGATACACAACAAACTTAAACATTGATGGATTTTGGCTTGTGTTCCACTTGGATTACCTGGAAATGGACTGAGATTTGCTTTACTTCTCCTTATTTTTGCCTGTGACTTTGCCTTTGAAAATAGAGAATGTGTTTTATTTTGCAGTGTTTGAATGGTTCTTTTGAAATATAGGTCCTTCAGGAAACCACATCTGACCCTGCCTGTCTCCCTCCTCTCCCCTCTACCTCTCAGAAAACAACAAAAAGGAAGAATAAAATATGAAGTCCTAACTTGCTGTATTGTAGATAAGTCATGGATGTAGAGCAGTGCAAGATTTGTGAGTGCAATTGCATTGCCAGGCTTTAGGAATAATGTAAAACTGAAAACTTGGAATTTCTGCTTATAAACCTTCGAACTCAAACCAGGAAGATCAGTCAAGATTAAACTTCTGATGTTTTTTTGAACCATTTCAGTGTCTGAAGACTCTTCAAATGTTTACTCTAATTATCTCTTGGGATGGGTTATGAGTAATACGAAATAAATTTTGGAACTCCTAGCCTTAAAGAGAGCCTTTGGGCACTCCTGTGAAACAAGTTTTGCTGTGACAACATTAGTGCCTTGAGTCATGAGGGTTTTTCATGTCTGCGTATTAAGTGTTTTCTGAACAGCTTCTAAGGAAAACTGCAACTGTCCACCTACACCAAAGGAAAAACAAAATCAGAGAAGAAAGTCATATCAGATCTTGTTAGTTATTCTAAACTGTTTGACTTGATTTCACTTAGAAGAAGAAATGGTTGTTACCATAGTTATTTTCTTGCTTTTGCTGAATATTAGAGAAACAAATTGTTCCTGAAATTCAGGGCACTAAGCAAACTCTCTGGAAATCTTTCAGAAAAACCCACAGATTATGTACCTGGAACAGGAGCTGGAAAGTTTGAAAGCAGTGCTGGAGATCAAGAATGAGAAACTCCATCAGCAGGATATAAAGCTAATGAAGATGGAAAAACTGGTGAGTGTTCCTTGGAATCTGGCAGATTGGGACCATGTCTCTGAGTTGTGTTCTGATAATGACCTCAGGCTGGTCAGGCTTAACAAGAATTAATATTTTTTGTTTAACAGGAAACATGAAATCATGATGGGACATGCTCACATTGTAGGTACAGCATTGGGCTGTAATGTAAAGAGGGGGAAAGAATGCCCCAATGCTGTAAATGACCATGTTCTTTTTTCCTTCCCTCTCTTCTCCCTCATCCCCAAAGAAAAAAATCCTTACCTGCTACATTTTCTTGAGTGGTATGGAAGATAGATTGCACTGCCAGGAAAACATTAACAAGGAAATTATCCTAATTTAATAAGAAAGGATCAAATATGAAATGGAATAAATGTTGATTAGCTTAGGCCAGTCATTTTAGCTGTTATCTTTAAGCTGCTACTTCAGCTGTATGGACTTGCTCCTGACCAGTGTGTAATTCCACATGAAGAGGCAATTTTGGGGGCAGACCTTGTAATTACTTAGCATGCTGTTACTTGTGTCAGGATGGGGTCCTTCTCCTGGGTGGGGCCTTTGAACACTGTTGTAATACTTGCTTAAGCAAGACTTCAGTGAGGAAGTATAGAAAGAGGTTTGGATACAGAGGAATACATTCAGGTCAGTTGCTCAGTGTTGTACAGCAGCGTATGTTACCTTGGTCTACAGTTACTAGTAAATTACTGGCAAACCTTTGTCTTTCCTGAGAGATGTTGACCACACTGTAGAAGCCCTTGGATCATCCGATCATTTATTCAGTGTTTCCTTAAAATGTAGTGGAATCAGGAGACCAGCAGGCAAAGCTGTTTACACAGGGGAGCTCCTAAATTTGTCATGTTACTGTGTTATTTCTAGACAGTCTTCTGTCTGCAACAGGTTCTAAAACCGCTGCCTGGCGGTTCACTGGCAGAAGTTACTAGAACATGCTGGTTAACCAGTAGATCCCCTATGCAGTCCTCCTTTGCTGGCTTCTAACCAGCACAAGTGACCAGGTGCCAGTGTTATGCAAGGATAAGGTAAGTAGGATCTATTTGACTGGTACAGAACATTCAAGTCACAGAAGCAGGTCAGTCTGACGTTACTTCAGGTTTTTATATCTACTGTTAACAAGGTCTACAAACTCCAGATTATGAACATCTGTGATAGCTCAGTATTTTGATGAGTGAGTGTATAGGTTTTATTTTAAACTGTGACCTTTTTCTAAGGTGGAGAACAACACAATCTTAATGGATAAATTAAAGAAGGTTCAACAAGAAAACGAAGAATTGAAAGCTCGGATGGACAAACACATGGAGCTTTCAAGGTGAAAAATATCTGTGCACTTTTGGATGTTCTTATGAACCAGCGGGAAGGGGTTCCTGTGATGAGAAAGAAATTTCTGTATAAATATTAGTGGATGCAGTTTTGTAGTACTCTGTAAAAGAACACATCCCTTTCTTACTTACTTGTATCTCTACAAATGTGCATTCCTTTGTAGAAGAACAAGCAGGAACAGACTGTAAGGGGGTAAAGGCTCAATGTGTTATTCAGTGGTCAAAACCAACATTTCAGGGAAGAAAAAGCAACTTGGAAATACCATTATACAAAGATTGCCTCTCTTAAGTACTAAGAGCTAAACTGGCTTGTGAGCTAAAGCTGTGTTTTAAACACTTCAGTGAGTGATTTGTCCCCAGTGTAGATCAGTGTGTTATATTTAGCAAATATGTGTTACATTGATCCAAAATGTGTTATATTTAGCAATAACAGTATTATTTAACATGAACAAAGCAGATCTGAGGTTCTCCTAACTTCAGCTTTTGCTTAAACGGGTGGTCAGACTCTTCCAGTTTGCAGCTTCTTTGTAGAGCTGAGCCTGCAACAAGACCCAAAGGCTCCAGCACAGCCATTTAAAAGCATCTGTTATTTTAAGCAGGACAAGTCTTACTCTTCAGATGTTTTTTCCAGCCTTTAGGGATTTTTCTTACTGGGACTTTTCTTCTGCTTTCTACAAACTACCAGTTTAAATCCAGCAAGGATAAGAACATGCTAAATCCTCCCTTTTAAGAATGGAATTTAGTTGTGAGCCCAGCAGGGGTTTATGCACTTTCAAACCTTTCTTTACAATTAAGTTCAATCCTGTAGCTTTCAGTTTGGGTTATGTGTTCTTATGTAAATCTTCTGTTTGCAGGCAACTTTCTACAGAGCAAGCTGTTTTACAGGAGTCACTAGAGAAAGAATCAAAAGTAAACAAACGCCTGTCAATGGAAAATGAAGAACTTCTGTGGAAGTTGCACAATGGTGACCTATGCAGCCCAAGAAAACTGTCTCCCAGTTCTTCATCTGTGCCTCTTCAGTCCCCACGAAATTCTGGTAACTTCTCTAGTCCTGCTGTGTCACCGAGATGACATCTCTTGAGAGAAAGAGGGGATTGCATTTCATTTCTGATCTGCAGAACCAATCTTAACTTTAATCACAGGAGCAAGAGCTATATTAGCCGACTATGACATCTGAACATAACTGGAAACTATTCAGAGCAAAAATGGCAAGAAGAGACTGTGAATATGGGAGTAAGACATTCACTCCTCCCGAAAAGACTTGTTTATGACCTCTATGGACATCGTTGCACAAAGCACTTAAGGAACAAGGAAAGACTTGTTTGTTGCCTTTTCACCTAACTCTAAGAAGAAGCTCAGGGGCTTAGAGATAAAGATCACAACCTTTATAATATGTTCCTTATCACCGACACTTTTTTAAGGCTGTGTGTGCGTGCGTGTGCTGTGGATGGGATGGATGTAACACACTGTGCGTGTGTCTAATGCTGCCTTCTTTGCTGTGTACGTAATAAAGGATAAAAGCTGAAGACTATACTTCATTTACTTCCTTGATACTGTTGACAGTATGCATGCTTTTAGCAGAGTACCCTCGCCCAGCAATGAGGAGAAACTGCCACTCGTACTGTAGGTTAGTTTCCTTCAGCTTTCTGGCTTCAGTTCGGTAAAAAAATGGCATGAAAAGCTTTGTCAACTGACTCATTAGTATCTTGGCCAACCTAAGTATGCAACTTTGAATTAATTTTAAATACAAACTGAGTTGCAGCCATATTTTGCATGGGTTCCTGGTTCTGTGTCCATGCACAACTCTGCCATTTATGAGGAGACATTTTTTGCAGGATACAGTGGATTTTGGCTTGTAGTCACAACCACAGTAGCCCTCAAGATCAGAAGTTCTTATTTGAGCTGCAGGTTTAGAAGCCTCAACATAGCATCTTACTGGTTGAAAAGGAATCGCTAATTTCCCCAAAGCAACAAGTCCATTCCCGAGGATAAACTAGATGTAGATGGGAAAGCCAAAGCAAAAAATGCAATAATTGTCACTAGGTGCATTCTTAACTCAGTTCTCAAGAAGAATCTTAAGTAACTGGTGAATTTCAATGTAGCTGGTGACACACTTACTTTGCCTTTTTAAGCATTAGGATTTGTATGAACATTCCTCAGAGTTGGCTAAATTCACCTGAGGAGGAAGGAAAAGGTGGTACCTGTGTATTTCATCTTGCTAATTCTGCCATACCTTCCCTCTTAGACTGCAGGATATTGGTCTTTTGCTAGTATTTGGTGAAAGATCCTGTACTAGACATTCTGTAGGGTAAGGGTTAAAAATTATCCTGGCTGCTGGAACTGGAGGACGAGGGTGTCAGCGTTTCTGGAAATGTCACATGCTGAGCTTTAGCTTTAACAAGGTATTCGTGTAGCCTTGCTCCAGCCTTGATCAGACCTGTTTAAGATGTCTGCTTTTTACTTGCTAAACACAGGTTCAACTGCAAATTAGTATTACAGAACACTAGCTTGGGTTTTACAGTAGGGCCAGGACCGCTGTTACAGTACCAGTTAGTGAATGCTGTTAGCTGGACATAAAATTTGCCATCCGTGACAGTATCTGCTGAGTTTCCCTGTGTTTTTTAGTAGCTTGGGGACAGGAGTGGGGGGGGGGAGGAGGAAAGCATTCAGGGAGAAGAATGCTCAGCTGGAGAATCACTTCAACCCATTTTACCTGACTTGCAAAACCTTGGCTAGTACTGAGGAATACAGACATAGAAACAAGACTGTTAACAGTGCTCATACAGTAAGTAAATTTGTAATAAACTTGTGATTGACTGTTTCATCACTAAATTTACTTAATCCTTCATAATGTACAAGTTAAGGGTGCCATTTCTATAGAACATTATGCTTTCTTTTAATCCTTTTTAGGGCACTGTACATACCGCTTACTAGTGGTGTCAGTACTTAATATGTTTTTCAAATTTAACTACGAAGATCCTGTGTTGGCTACAACTTGGCTTAAAGTATCTCTTGGAACATTCTTATTTTCTATGGTCAGAGATTTGATTGCATGTATTTGAGCTGAATGCTTTACAATAAATTTTTTGTACCAATTGAAGGATTTTTCTTCTGCTTGTATTAGTCAAATGATCTTTAATCTAAGGAGGAACATTCCTCCGGCTACTACAAACTCTTAGTGCCTGCTCAGCACAGCAGAACAACAACAGTGAAGCTTCACTGCACAAATTAATGTTCAGCTAGCCCTTTGAAAATGTTACCCTTGCTACTCTAATGTAGGTAGAAGTTACACAGAGCTTGCTTGTGATTATTAGCAATTCAGTTTGAGTTGGCCATAAAAAAAAAAAAAAGAATAGATTAGGTACTCAAAATGTGCATATGTCTGGTAAAGGCATCCTACAGAACTCATTAAAATGCTCACCTTATTCAGGAAATTTTGTGTGTGAGAAAAGCCACAGTTATAGTTTAGCAGTCTTAAGAGCTCATGTCACAAGAACAGTTGTCAAGCCACCGGTAAGAACTTACAGTAGTTGCAAAGTAATGCCTCAAATAAAACATGCAAGGAGACTGCATACCAATGTTTGAAGGTCAAATATAGCACAGCCCTTCTTGTAACAGAGCAGGGAAAGCTTTTCCAGGCTTCTGGTACAGGAAGTAAGTATGGTATAGTAAATAATACAAAGACTGTTCATTTGTTGATAGTTTCCCTCCACAGTACACAGGAGACTCCTCATCTCTAAACTGCTTGCAAGTTAATGCTTTTATGAAGAAATCAAGACTGCTTGTATATAGAAATCAGACTACAAATAACACCTGTTCAGTGTTTGTCCTTTTGGTCTCAAAGAATTAAATAATTCTGTTAATCTGTAAATATTGGTTTAATGTTTTTCTGTTTGAGTATCAGTATTTCAAGCTTTAACTTTGTTAGCAAAGGCTTTGTTCAATCCGGTAACTTTTGGGTTTTTTTTCTTTAGCATAAAGTTTCCTTCAGGAAAAGTTAGAAACCTGCTCACCATAATCATACACCAAAGGTCAAGCAATTAAACAAGTGATTTTCTTCAGATACTGAACTTTAACTAGTAGTTTTAACTCTAATGATAAGCTTCAAAGGAAGTTACAGTGACATTTGTATCTGTACCAAGTAGGTTCTTGCCATTCAAACTATTCATAATATGGTTCACCTTCACCCTTCAATACTTTTCTGTAAAGGTCTTTGTATGAGTTGCACTGTATTTGCTGTAAAATTTGAAGTGAATCATTTCCTTAAGCTAAATGAAGATGTTTCTCATTATGAACACCAAAGACACTTGCATGTAAACTGGTATCATGCAATTCATGCAGGAAATTCCTTCTAGACAGTAAGTAACCATTGATATTTAAAACTGTAGTTGCCCGACAGCCAGGAAATCATTTAGGGCTGAGCTGGAGTTAAAAAGATCATTAGAAAGTCGGGATAATCACAGAACCCTTAAGAAACAAATACCTTCTGTCCATTGCTGCTGCCTTGCCTTAGAAGAGCAGTGACACAGGTATGGAAATGGAAAGAACAGTACTGGCAGCTTGAGGCATGTAACCTTGACAAGTCATTTACACTTCATTTCCCAGGCTTCATTCTCTTACCCTGGGTCACTGTTCATTTAGGTGGAAATGTGTAACTGCATCAATGTAACAAGAATCAGCCCTGCCCAGGAGGTTTTGAGTAAAATAAGAACTATGTAAAATATATGGTAAAATAATTCTCATAGTTCTAAATAAGAATTATTTCAATGCTTGAGGGACAGGACAAGGAATGATGGACAGGACATGACACTCACCAAAATTCTTCCTTAAAGGCACTGCCTCTGTAGTTGTTACCAGTCATGAGAACTGCACCTGAGGGGGACTACTCAAGCAATGGATTTACACCATCTCTTCCTCTGCTGCCACAGTGTCTTCCATGAAGTGATGCCACCACGTGAACCACTGTGCTACTGAACAAGTCTGGGCAGGTGACACCATCTCCCACTTGCTACATATTCTGAAGCAAATCAATTGTCGAATTGAAGGCTCAAATGCACTTGGAACTACAGGAGTTGTGTCAGCTTCCTAAATTTCAAAGGGAAAGACATTGTTCTTATAAATGGAAATGCTAAAAAGGAATTAACACACTGCACAGCCTCCTCCAGAACCTCAGGGATTCTTAATTTGGTCAGATTAAAAAGGAAAACAAACCACCAAAAAACCCAAACCAAAAAACCAACCAACCAAACAAAACTAAAACAGATACAAACCAAATTTTCCCCCTAAAAAATGGTACAAGGACCTTTTTTAGGTATTACTATGACATTGTATAACCTATTTAGTCATTTGGGTAACACTGTAATATTCCTGATACATTTTAACAGATTAACAAGAACCTGCCTCTTACACCCTCAAGGTTGGTCCTACTGTATACCATATTTTTTTTTATAGATAAGTTGATTCCAGTGGCCAAAGATACTATAAACACCTGGAGAGTGTTGTCCATGAAGCCTGTTAACATGAGATCTGCAAAGAACCATTTCAGTCTTTATCGTGGATATTTATCAATTACACTGGTTGAGGTTCCTGCATGCTGAGGAAAAAGCATTCAACAAGCTTGTTTAATATTTTCATTACCTACACTATTCAAGCTTCTGACTTTACTGAGAAGCTGCCATTTTTACATTAGCTCTTACATCTGTCACTACTAAAAGCAGTGCTGTACAAATCTGCTCAAAGGTCTGAATTAGCTGAAGCACAGGCCTTCACAGAAGAAAGTGTTAGGAATTCCAGTCAAATGCAAGCTGAGACAGACTGAAGTGTGTGAGTAAGGGACCAGATCCTGTTTTGGTTCCTCATATGCTCAGAATAACCTATTTTTCACATGCCTTTTAAGTAAAATGTATCAATTTTTTTTGTCATTCAATTCCACTACTGAGAAGTAGATTTGTATTGGAAGTTTTAGCTTACATAGATTTGGTGCTCGAGGCTAGAAGGAAAAAGTATTGCCAAAATATCCAAAAATGTTGTTACCAAGTTCTTAACCTTTGTCACGTCTCTTTCCTTGCATTGGTTACTAAACCCAGTGGCTTATTTATCCAGGTATAATTCTGTTTCTCCTAAGTAAATTAATACAATCAAGTTGAACTTGTGAACCTAAGAAGAAATTCTGATGTATAATTGAACATTATTCTAATGTTACATTTGCTTTTTTTTATTTCCATAAATTATATATGTATAAATGCAAGTTTTACCTTTAGCAACCATAATTTGCTACATAATTTACTAAACATAACGGTATACATCTGTTGCGGAGTAAACTACTAAGTAAGCTGCATATTTTAAGGTTGTAAGAATGCAACAACATAAGGAAAATCCAGCATACCTGACTGCTTACAAGTCTCTCGAGATACTAATCTAGGTGCAGAGGGTATTAATCTTTACCAGGAGTGAAATTTTTATGCATTTATGTCTTTATACATATGTGAAATGAGCACACACACACACACACATATTTTCATAATATTCAGAAATTTAATTATTCTTGCAAAATAAACATCTGGTATTAGTTCATTTTGTATCAAGTGTTTTTTTGTTCTTTTTTTGTTGTTGTTTTAAACACGTACAGTACTGTCATTATTAAAATTGCAAGCACCACACAGCAGGCTGACCTATGCAAAGGAAAGCCCAAGAGCACTTATTCCTAAATACAACATGCCCCATGCATGTTCAGGCTTAAACTTCAGTGCTTTGTAGTAGTTTCATTAGCTCCCAACTCACTACTGTTAGTGAGAGAGAAGCTTCATTGAAACATTAATAAAGAAAATTAATGGCTATAATGTCAAGTAATACACAGTTTAGTCCAGGCCCAGAAATCTTTCCTATCAATATAGTTCAACTTTAGTAGCTACTGTTGTTTCTCCTTGTAGGTTCTGAGCTACACAAATGTAGTTTCCAGCATCTCTGGCTTCAAAATCAACAACAAGAAGAAGGCTCTTTGAGATTCTTGTAGTATGTCCAGTTCCTCTGTTTACCAATCTTGAGAAGTTTTTAATAATCACAGGCAACTCAAACTGTTTAAAAGAGGGGAAAAAAAAAACCAGAATAAAACAACAACTCACCCACACAAAACATGTACTTAGCAACACCACCCCATCAAACCCTGATGCAAGAGGTTGGATAATAGGAGCCTATATCCAAGAGTCAGCCCTCAGTGAGGAAACAAGGTCTGGCAGTTGCAGCAACATTCCTGCATTAAATATTGATGTACCAATAAGTTATGCCAAATAAGGGTAATACAATGGCTCTTCCACTCTAAGCACAGGTACTGTGTATCTTCAGATCAGTGATGGGATGAAAAAGCTCTGCCTGGAGCCTCTGAGTGAGCTCAGTTAGGCCACTTACGAAGGCTGCATTTGGGTACCTGATCAGATAGATCAGGTAGCTTGGGGGACATGTTAGGATGGATATGTGAGCTCATTTTCAGACTTTCAGTGTCTCAGAAAGAAGGCAGCAGTGGCATAAGTTAGTTGACCAAGCACATGTTGAAAACTAATTCCTCCTCTAGTTTTAGAAACACTGTATTAGATAACATACAAACTAATAGTAACATTCCCAAATACTTCTAAATTAATCCTTACATTCTTGTTTCCAAAATGTGTGTGTAACTTCAAAGCCAAAATACAAAAATCACTGTTTGGATAGAAAGATGCCTTTTGACTTTTTTGTTATAACAGGTTTTTTCTTTACCCTGCCTTTTGTAAGATAGTTCTCTGATGGACTGTTTATGAGGTCACACTCCCTGCTACCTCAGAAGGTCACACAGGACTGGATAAGAAGAGAAACTGGCTCAAAGACAGACTAGGGCACTCTCTTTCCTTCCAAAATCCGTCAGCTGCTCGTCAGCAGCTTAAGTACACTGGCTTCTGCTATAAAACTGTAAGAGAGGTTTCTGCTTGGAAACCATTGGAAACCATCTTCTTTTGCTTCATAAAAGAGATGGCTTTTTACCAATATGAATGCTACAAGGCTTAAGCTAATAGTAGCAAAAGGATAAGTTACACATGTATCTAGAGCCAAAGCTACAGCCTCACACTTGCAAAATGACCATGGAAAGGCAGCTGCCATTCTTTCTGAAGCTTAGGGATGAGTCACAGTGGAGTCAGGGAATGCCTAGGAAGTGGCAGACATTACCAGCTTTAAAAAAATAAATAAATAAATCTTCGTAGCTGTAAATCTCATGCAGAAATTCTTAACCCTTTGAAAGTAATCAAGCCACTTAGCAGAGCACTGCTTCCAGTTCCCAGCCTGAAAATCAAGTGCTACCTACAGTCATGTACTACTGCACACTTAATTCAGGCCTAAGTTAGTTCTCTAAATACAGTAAGTAGAACTTTCTTGCTGCTACTGAAAGTGAAGGTAAAGGCCGTGTAAATTGGATGCTGTTTGCCTGGCTGGGCTCCTGCTAGCCGAGTTTTTCTCATACTAATCGCCTTCTGCTTTGAAGCCTCTTTCATGGAATCAGATTAAGGAGTGGATCTGTATGCATTCACAGCAGATGAATGAGCAAATGCAATTGTCAAAGAGTGGAAAAAATAAGGAAAAAGTAAGAACAAAAAACAACTGAGTGGGGAAAAAAAGAGGGAGAGGTTAGTGAATACGGAGATGAAATTATGGTCTCCCCAGTGCAATGAACCTGAAAGCAAGCATGGATTAAAGTGCTGCTTCTGCTCAGGAATCAAATAGTAGGTGACAGCCCAGCTGCTGGGTGGGGTAGTGGTGGTGAACAAAACTATCACTGAGCTCCCTGCACTGGAAGTAGCAGCACCATTGTAAAAACATCCAGTTAACCTTAGAACCTTGTCAGTGCTTTTTCTTGCATAAAAGAAGGTCTATCTGGCCAGCATCACTGAGGATCCTTTATCTTCTCTCTTCACCACCACGTTTTTACTTTGCAGTATATGAATACTTTCTCAGTAAATGTTAAGTCTCCCAACAAGCATACAGTGCTTCTACTCTGACATTTATTTGATCACTTTGTCGGGGCAGAAATCCAAACACAAGTCTTCCCTCTCTGTCCTCAGGCACAACTGGAGCTGAGACTGTTTACTCCAGTGGATAATAAGCACATGAGCCCCTTCCAGGGCAGATACAGGCCGAAGTCTCTCTCTCACCTCAGCAGGTAGGCGTGTAGTCCTCTGCTGATAGCGCATGTGCCCTGCACTGCAGCTGCAGTATCCACAGCAAACAAGGGAGTTCCTTTGCATGTGTTTAGCTGTTTATGTTCCATCAGTGCTACAGAGGCATAAAGCCGTAGTGCACATGCCAGTCTGCATCAGGAGCTGTAAGACCACTGGAAGCACCTGGGCCAAGAACATCCAGCAACCACGCTTGGGGCAGCCATCAGGCTATGAAAGATGCAGAAGTAGCAGGGGGTGGACACTAAGGAGATACGGAGTTTTGGAAGGCCAGGCTGGGTCTAGGATTTTAATTACTTCAGTTGTTCTTAGTAATTACAGTTAGTTACAAAAGACAAAAATGGGGTTTGTATAGACAGTTACTACAGTCCATTAAACAGATAGCAAGGGAAGCTGAACACAAAAAAACCAAAAAAGACCCCACAAGACAAAAAAAAATGGAAAATCATATCAATCAACAAAGCTAATGTGAGCAAGCATGGGCATTTCTTCTCTTCCCCACCCAACAGAGTCAATCATTATACAACTGTCAGAGTTAAAGAACCACCCTGAAGGATAGAGAACACTGCCATTTGTTGATGCATCCCCCTCAAAGTAATGCATTGGGCCTTTAACCAAAGACATCAGGCCTTTAACCAAAAAAACACTATTGCTCTGCAACTCCCCAAACTTTGAAGCACTTCTGTTTTCCTTAACATTGCTTTTTACTTCACAGGCAGCTGCAAGTTTCTCTGCTCATTTTGACATCTTCACCTTTCCTTCCTAAATTCAAATGGATACCAGAAACAGGAATTCTGCCAAACTCTTCCAATGCTCTATCCAGAATTTAGTCTTTAGATCATCTACAGCTTGAACAGGGCAGGGAGGAGAAGTTGGTAATTGCTCACAAACTCTCAGACTTCAACTTTTGGCAGGAAAATGTAGAACAAGCGTTGTGGGACCAGAGTTCGGGAGGAAAGATGGGTGGAGGGGGAATGGGGAAAGTGAAAGAACAAATTAACATCTAAGCAAGGACTTGGTTCTACATGCCCAATGCCTGCACCAGCAGTTCAAATCCCTTTCATGCTCTCTGGTTTTCCCCTGCAGAGGCACACACATGACAGCAGAGCACTACAGCCTCTATCTTAATGGCTGCTGCAAACTCCTAGAGCATCAGATTTGAATTTCCTCAAGCCTAGTAAGCCCTGAACTCCAATTACCCACTCAAACCATTGTCTCTACTGCTAAAATACTTACTTCTATGCTGCGTCAAGAGACAAAGTACCTTATTAGCAAGCTCTGCATCGTCCTTTAACAACCCAGAACCAGGAGGGCTGGCAAATGGAACACAATGCCAACCCTTCAGTCATAGAGGATCCCTTTCCCATGGTTAAGGGTTCCATCTTCTAGCAGTCCTTCCCTTGCTCCTAGCCTGTTGAGGATAAGCAGCAGGAGGGATGAGGCTGAGTAAGAATCAAGCCCCTGCTGTAACTGGTCAGGGTGGTTAGAGGGAAAAGAAAGGGGACCATCAGTGTTGCTAGTCAGATACATCTTATTGCAAGAAAAGAGACCTCAGATTCACTCTGTGTTTCCAGTGGATTCTTTTAGATGAGGCTGGGCAGAAGCAGACTCTACTTCTGGATGTGGGCAACAATTAAGCTTAAAAATTCTGTGCTGGGATGATTCATGTGCCCCAGCCACAGAGAAGGAAGGGATATCAAATGCAGAGGTATCAGTGAGGCTTTGTGGCTTGCCCTAGAACAGCCTCCTGATGCTAGCTGGCTTTGACCCTGTCTGAGGCTTTCTTTGGAAATGCTGCCAGAGGCCAAGTGCCTCTGGAATGGAAACCTGAGGGAGGAGTCAGCCTTACTGAGCTCGATTTGCAGGGAAAGACGGGCTGAAGTTCAAAAGGGATATGATGCCCCCTCCTGCCAGCACACTTCAGCTTTTATGCAAGAGGCAGACACCACAATCTGAAAGAATTTTTACTCCAAATCCAGACGCTGACTGCATGCAAAGTCTTGCCTTTAGGAAGAACAAACCATATCAGGCAGAGCATACATCTCTTACCTCTTGCCCTGGGTACTGCCACGTGAAGTGCACATCTACATCTGGATCCCCAGGGACTGTGCAGATCACAACAACACGGTCACCGAGTTTGGCTCTATTGGATGACGCCTCAATTGTGGTTGAGGGTGGGCCCTTGGGAACTGAGAGAAAGACAGTGCTTGGGAAAGAAAATTAGCTTCTAAAGTTAAATACACTGGCAAAACTGAGAGTCAATTTTTGACTGTTTGCTTAATGCAACAGGTGGTTTATGCCTGCAACTACACTGGGAAATTGCTGGAATTTAAACCTACAGTGTTTTATCACATATACTTTTGTTCAAGGTGTTAAAAATCTTACTTATTTTACTTTTTTTAAAAATTGTTTTCTTAGACATGTCAGCAAAAGAGTCAGTTTAAGCACATAGAAAACTTGCACTTTACCTTCCACATACAATAGGTGATATTTGATGGAAATCTGAGGTGCTCCCTGTGACTCTGCTTTGCAGTAGACAATGCCCTTATCATCAAAAGTAGGGTGCTGGTAGACAAAACCCTTTTTTGCATCATAAATAATATCAGTTCCATCTGTTTCAATTTCTTCTGCTGGAAATTCCCTGTGTAAAGTTACTTTCGCTGAAGGAGTAGTAACGCGGCATGGGACGACTGCAGGTTTATCCGGGTTCAGGTAGACAATCTCAAAATAATGGGGAGTAGGCACAAAAAGTTCCTCTTTGTCTGTGCAGAAGAGTTGACAAAGTTAGAAAAATATTTACATCTTGGTTTAACAGAAAGAAAAGAAAGCACATACAGCAAGAGAAAATAGCTATGAGCAACATTTCAGGCAAATCACTTTGGCTTAATTTTTGATATGCACTCACAGAAGGAAAAATCACAGTTTGCATTAAAAACATTAAACCAAAAAGAAAAACAAAGTGTTCTTTACTAGATCTTCATACTTTTTAAATCTTATGAAAAGCTTTGGAATTCCTTTTAATAAGTTTGAAAATACTTATCTGGATCCCACCACCACTGGCAAGATAAGGACTACTAGGAGAAGATATTCTTTGGAGCAACAGACTTTTTATACGTATGCTTTTAGGCAAACTGATTTATTAGTTTAAGTAAATGAAATATTTAGTGCTTTTAGAATGACAGTTAAGGAGTATTTCCATAATTTGCATGCTCCTTAGATATATAAAGATGAAATTTCTCTTTCTAGCATAAGCATTTATATAATAACTTGACTGAAAAGTTTATTCCAGAATTTCTAAAGGAATGTATCCCAAAAACATTAAGCAGTTCTGATAATTCTGCACAGTCTCATGGTCTAATTTAGCTCCCAAATGTATGGCAACCTTAACATTTTGTACTAAAATGTTTTCTAGCCAATAATACTTTGGTTCTAATTGGGATTGAAGGTTGTTTTACATCCAAAATGCTTTCCATAAGAAGATTAAACTCAAAATTTGATTTCAGCTCTGTTGTGTCAGGTAGCAGTAAACCGTGCACAAGCTCTGCGGGACAACACATGATCTTAAAAGAGTGTTTTGCCTCTCAACATGCTATAGAGACTCCTGGGAGAAATTGTGATCTTACCAAGGTCAGTGAGGTCAAGATTTTTAAGCCAGTGCAGGTAACTGGAAAAAAGTGGCGGGGCAGGGGTCATCTGAATGCCATGGCAAAATGAATCTTCTGCACAGATTTATTTTCTTTATTGAGAAACATTTTCAAAAGTGAAACATTTTTATATTCATTTTACAGAAGATCCTCAGAAAGCCTGTTACTATTTTCAAAGGTGCTTTGCATTGCATTATGCATTACTTTGGGTATACATTTTGCATAATCCATAGGGAAACTGGACTCAATAAATCATACTAAGCAAGTATTTTCTGCTCAGCAGCACTGTCTTCCTTAACAACCACTAAAAAAAAGATGAAAATAGCGGAAATAAAATCTTGACAGTGAAATAGCTGATGTAGCTTTATTTCTGTCTTACTAGCAAATATACTTTCACTAATAATCCCCCAGGAGTTAATTACCTGCGAAAAAGATGTACGTTGAGCCTGTTTTAGTCTCGTCCTTCCTGCATTTGTTACCGTTGCACAGCTGAAGCCAGCAGCTGTATTCACCTGTGTCTGCTGCAGTGGTGTTTGCCAGGATCAGCTGACCATACCTGTCAAGCTGCTTTATACTGCAGAAAAATAAAAACAAAAGGCACAGACAAGCACAGATGTATCTCCTTGTACACTTCTGTCAGCTCTGTTCTACTTTTGATTTTATACTCCTACTCTGCAACTGACCTACCTTTCAAAGCTCTGTTGCAACTCCCCTTTTTGCTCCAGCCGAGACCTGTTTACGCGAGTAGTTTTAATGATTTTAACTACACAACAACAGCTTGCAAGTCTTTTTGTCTTGTAACTTAACTTTTGGATTCTTTTCAGCCCCCATTTTTTAAATGGCCAGTGACTGTTCCAGGCAATATGTTCATCTATGTTTTGTGTCTGTTTGTCCACGTATAGCCCTTTTGTTCATGCTAAAGGTCAACCTGCATGCATCTCAGTGCTTTTTTAATACCTTAATAAACTGTAGCACTGCTTCAATACATCTAACAAAGACAATTCATGAGAAGTAAATAGCAGGTACTTTAATAAGAGTTTGTTTAATGATTTATGCCCGCTTTCAGGCTGAATGCTTTACCAATCTTTAACATACTGCTCCAAGTTTCCACTTGCAAATAACATCATTTAAGAGCTTCTGTCTCGGCTTGGATTTGTACTGCAAGAAAGTCATTTTGCACCACCTACTCCTCTGCCCTAAGCCACCTCACTGGCATACGCTCACTGGAGTTTTATCATTATAAATTACATTATAAATTATCTGGAGTTTTTGGATAAGCTTTGAGAGATTCCTATTTCTGCAAGAGATCCTGCTGCATATCATACCCAACAGGAAGAAGAGAAAAATGCAAAACATGTCCTAGTCTGTATTATTATTATTATTATTATTAGTTTCACAGTTCACATTTCATAGGCTATATGACTACATCAGCATAAAATGTTTTGCAAGTATAGAGTACTAAATGTCAACATTACAGAGAAACCTTATGTAAGAGCATTTTTGCCTCCTTTATTTAACGCAGAAACTGAACTATAGCTCAAAATCCCAAGAGACAGAAAAATAAGGTCAGAGTTAATTAATTATTGTACAGTGTGTTCTGCTTAGCTGAGAACAAGCTACCCAGTAATCAGTGGAAATAACTACCAAGGTAGTCATCCACAAACATGCACTAACAAAACCTGGCAACTGAGAGTGGAAGTGTTGAAACTTGTGACAGGACTGGATTAAGCAGACAAAATGGGTCATGTAAAGTAAATTACAAATGGTAAATCCTGCAGCTGACCAATATTTCCAGGATAATTTTTAATTCATTAGTATTTTAGATGCAAGGAAATCTGACTCAAAAGCCAAAACTTTGTGTCATGGGTTCAGGTGCCTGGGTTTTTGGTAGTAGGGAGGCCATAGGTGTGGTTTCAGTTAGAAGCTGCCAGAAGTTCCACTGTCCTATGAAAAAGCCAATGATAGCCAGTTCCAGGAGGGACTTTCCCCTGTTGTTTTCCAAGGCTGAGCCAGTGAAGGTGTGCTTCTGTGATTAACATACTTAAGAACAGAGGAAGAGAAGTCAGTGTCACAGAAGAAATTCCAGCCTGGAGAAGAGCGGAGGAGAATATGGGATAACAAACAGACTCCAAGGTCAGCTCCAGGAGCGGGGAGGAGGGGCCCAGGGGCCTCCCACTCCCCATCCAGCAGAGGAAAGACTGAGAGCTGAGGCCCCTGCCACTGGTGGAATAACGGTGGGATTCGGAAATTCCCCATCCCCCCTGCAGCTGATGGAAGAGCCCATGCTGAAACTGGTGGTTCCATGAAGGAAGTTATGACACCATGGGAGGCCCAAGGATAGAGCAAAGTCCTGCAGGAGACCTGCGGCCTGTGTAGAGGAAAACCCACACTGAAGCAAGTTTTCCCAAGTAGGACTTGTGGCCCTGTGGGGGACCCGTGCCAATACAGCTCATTCGTGAAGGAATGACCCATGGGACAGCAGATGGGGAAGAACTGCTGCCCGAGGGATGGATTCACTCTGGAGAACTCCATCAGGGAGTGTCTCCTGTGGGAGGGACCCCACGGAAACAGGGAAGGACTCAGAAATGTCCCCCTGTAGCCCGTGGTGATGACCATGGTGAAATAGGTATCCTCTTATGCTACCATGGAGGAGTAACCTCTAGGTCGACAGAATGGGAAGAGCTGCAGGAAATCTGCAAAGAAAGAGCAGAGGGGGAATGTGTTGTGTTTTTAGACTGTTCTATTTTTTACTCTTTAGCTCTTATTCTGTTAGCAATGAATTTAGCTTTTAGTTTGTTAGTAATAAATCCAAGTTTTATTCTCACTCTGAGTTTGGTTTTGCCTGTTAACACTGCCTACTCCTAGTTCTTATCTTTACTCAAGAATCCTGGCTGTTTGTGTTTTTTTTCCCCATCCTCTGCCCACTTGGAGGAGGGTGCGGGAGAAAGGTGGCTTTCAGTGGGTGCTGGCAGCTGGCCAGGATCAAACAACAACACTTTGCTGTGCTCTACATATCACAGAGTAAAAACGTTGTATATACAAACATTCCAAGACTGTTTAAAGAAAGTGGAAAACTAGTCCAAGATCTTATTCCATAAATTCATCTTATTAAGCTTTAGTTATTTGAAGTTCAGAAGATCTTTGCCAGAAAATTATGACACGCCTAGAAGCCAAAAAAAGGAAGATATAAAGAGACAGTATACACAGCACCACTCAAAAAACATCTAACAAACTCCTCTAAAGCAGCTGCATTCAAACTGACAAAAGAGAGCTTATCTCAAACACACTCTCACTAGGAGAGGAACATAACATCTTACTGTTTTACACAAAAACCCCAACCCTGGCTTTCAGACTTCAAAGAGCAAGCAGCAAAATGAAATTCAGTTATACACACAAGCACAGCTGACTCCCACTAGGTCAGCAGCAGCCTGCATTCACTGAAAGCAGTGTAACTTTGCCCTCTACAACATCCAATTTCCTCAGTATTTCTGAGAGCCCTCCTGTCCAGACACACTCTGCTCACACAAATGTACATGTGATGTGTGTCCAGCTCTTTGCCCCAGCTTCCCCCATTAGAGCAGTTCCATTTCACAGGAGTTTACTTATCAGATTAAGTTCTCTGATAAATACAGCTGGCCTTCACCGAGTGAGAGATCTACACTGCAGGTCAGGCAGAGCAGAGATTATGTAAAGCTAGACTGCCTTTTTGCTATAAAACATTGGAAAATGTGCTCACCCTTATTTTTTCTTTCATCACTTTCATACACCGTAGATCCAGTTTCTGGGTGAGTCTACAGTCATCAATTTGTTATGCACAGTCTTACAAAACAGCATTCCCGCCCTTCCATTCTGGAGGTGCATGAGCTACCTTTGACTATTAACAGCACTGATATTTTTTGCCAGTTCAGCCAGTACACAAGATTTTCAGACAAAAAGTGTATTTACGCTATACAAAGCAAGAAAGCATGACAGATAATGTAAGGTAATCCTGAAGCAAGCTAGTGTGTGTCCTTAACCCAAGAACCACGTTTGCATGAATCTAGCTTTCTCCCCAGAGTTGTATTGTGTGCTACAGTCTCTAAAGCGAAGTAAATCATTTCAGTGTGCACTGTTATTTACTCCAATTAGAATAGTGGAAAGGTAGGTAAAGGTAAAAAAAAAGTCCAGCCCAGTTAATTAGCTTGGGCTTCACCCCACACTTCACTCACTAACTGGTAACAAAGGTATTACCTTATACTCGATATTTAAGTACTCAAAACATGTTAGAAGATACTGGACATATACCTATCTAGATGATTAACCAATTTTTGCTGTAGGTTATTTGATAATTATTTTTCTGATCCCCCCCCCCTTTGTCCTACATTCATAATTTTGTTTTTAAATAATGGGAGATAATATATTAATAAAATATTTAAATTTACCTATTGCAGTTGGTGGTTGCTGCTGCATGGTCTTGCATACACCATGAGGAAGATCTAAGCTCCCTTTCAAAGATGATAGTAATTGTTAACCTTTTCTGCTGCCAGCTAACTTACAAATACTGCCAACTGAGCTAACTAAACAACATGTTACCCCTATGGTATTTCCAGCTAGACTCCATCAATGCTTTCTAAAACCACAGAATATAAATTTCAAATTTCACATTCTATAAAGCAGACTTTGTTTCATATGCATCTATGAGTACTACAGATAATTACCAAAGTCCTGATAAAATTGTGATGGAAAATATAACTGCACAGGATTATGTGGTCAATGTCTCCATAAATTATTATTATTCTGTGACTGTAAAATCTGCTATTAATCCATGTTTTCAATTTCTCTATTTAATTTTAGGACCTTCTGCTTGCATTCAAAATTGTTGATTCAGTCTAACACAGCCTTACTGCTTCAACAACTTGAAATTCAAAATAATTTTTAAAGCAATGATCATAATTTTTCAATACAGATCTTTAAATATATGCCTTACATAATTCTAAAAGAAAAGAAAGACTTAGTCAAGTTATATCCACCCAGACTAAGTGTTTTATAGCATTTATTTTGTGTGATGTTATTAACTTTTGTTGTACGGCTAAAATATTATAAATACTGTAAACTTGAGTGAGGACAGAAAGGTAAATTGCTGAGGCAACAGAATTGCAAACTACTTCAAACTGAAAAACAGAAAAGTGCACAATCAGGAAATATCTATCTATGTTTCTTCCTAAGGTATCTTAAATTCTTGCACTTTATTCCATGTGCATCAATAGAGAACACTTAATTTTGCAGGAGAGGAACAGCCAGTCAAATAAATAACGAAGAAGCATTCATATTCCCCTCCAAAAATCTGAATTTGTGCCCTGCTTTCTTCCATGCCAGATGCTGATACTCAGATAACATGAACTGGAGGTCTACAGAACCAAACCATGCCACCAACTTATTTACAAGTGCACAAAATGTAAGATACACTTGAGAACTGTGACAGACAGCTCAGATTACAAGCTTCGGAAAAAAACATCTTTAGAGGAAAAACCACCGCAGATGCAGTTTCCCGAAGTCAACGCAGAAAAACACTTACAGTTTAAACTCAGGCACTGCAAATTTATTGTACGGGAAACCCCTCGTGCTGTGCAAACTCTCACTCCCCAGGTGGCTCCCCTGGGCGGCTTCCTCTTCATTCTGCTCACTGAGCTATCCCCCGCCCCTGTCCTGACCCCACTGGCTGTCCCACCTGTCTCTCTCCGGTCCCTGGGTTCCTAATGGGTGTTAATCTCCCCTCTCCTCCCCTTGGCTGGACGAGCGGCCAAGCCCCAGCTGCGGGAAACTTGAATAAACTCTCTTTGCTACAGCACTGCCTGCGTGCTGTGTGCTCTCGGCGGCTGCTCGGCACTGGGGCTTGCCTCTGCCTTGCAGTGGAGAGCGTGTGTCCCTCAAACCCTGTTAGGGAACAACACCCACCCAGCACACACACGCTCCCTGTTGATTTGCACGTACAGCTCCGGCTTGCTGCCAGGCCAGGTCTGTCATCATCATGGCTAGGCTTTGCCAACAAAGATTTGAGAAGGGCTCTACCCACGCTTGCTGCAAGTGGGCTGATGGCTAAAAAGGCCAATGCGAGATGAGACAAGTCCGGTTGCAGAAGGCACAGCAGAAAGACTCCCCAGGTGATATCAACAAGACACGATTCTTTCTGTGTTGTCTTTTCTCCTCGAGAGTGATCCTGCGTGTGTTCTCAAAAGCAGCAACAGCGTTATAGATGGTGTGTCTCCAGGCCTCCCGATTGGAGGCCAGGGTAGACCAATGGTGGTGATCAATATGGCCAAGGCTGAGGGATTGTTTCAGGCAGTCCTTGTATCTCCTCTTCGGGGCTCCTCTCTTGCAGCAGCTCAGTGGCAAGTTCCCCACAGAGCACGATCTTAGGGAGGCGGTAGTCCTGCATCCTGGAGACGTGCCCTGCCCAGCGCAGCTGTGTTCTCAGCAGCATGGCCTCAATGCTCGTGACTGCTGCCTGTTCAAGGACAGACGTGTTGGTCACATAGTCAGTCCAGTGGATGTTTAGGACTGTACGGAGGCAGCGCTGATGGAAGTGTTCCAAGAGATGCAAGTGATGGTGGCAAATGAACCATGATTCGGATCCATATAAAAGAGTAGACAGTACAATGGCTCTGTAAACACTGATCTTAGTACTTTTCTTCAGGTGTTTGTTTTGCCACACTCTTTTACGGAGTTTACCAAAAGCTCTGTATGCCTTAGCTAACCTGTTGTCTATTTCTGCATCAATCTTACCATCTGAGGAGATGATGCTTCCCAGTTAATTGAACTGCTGGACTGATTTGAGCTCCGTTTCACCAATGGTGATATGGGGATGATGGAAGACTTCCTGAGGTGCAGGTTGATATAAAACTTCTGTCTTCTTCAAGCTGACTTCCAGTCCAAAAAGCTCAGCAGCCTCTGCAAAGCAGGATGTTAAACGCTGCAGAGCTACTTCTGTGTGGGCAACAAGGGCGGCATCATCAGCGTAAAGCAGCTCACGGACAAGATGATTTAAGGTCTTAGTGTGGGCCTTCAGTCACCTTAGGTTGAACAGGCTCCCATCGGTACGATATCGAATGTAGACACCGTTTTCATCATCGAGGTCTACCGTGGCCCTTTGGAGCATCATGCTGAAGAAGACTGTGAATAAAGTTGGTGCGAGAACGCAGCCTTGCTTCACCCATTGGCTATGGGAAACGGCTCAGAAAGTGCATCACCATATCTGACTTGACCACGCTGGTCCTCATGAAGCGAGATGATCATTTTGAGGAACTTGGGGGGACATCCTAAACCTTCCAAAATCTACCACAGACCTTTTCTGCTCACAGTATCGAAAGCCTTGGTGAGATCAACAAAGGTAACATAGAGTCCTTTGTTCTGTTCCCTGCACTTCTCTTGCAGTTGTCTGAGAACAAATACCATGTCTGTGGTACCTCTGTTGGCTCGGAAACCACATTGTCTTTCAGGTAGAAGATCTTCTGCTATGGCGGGTAATAATCTGTTCAAAAGAATTCTTGCAAGGATTTTACCAGCAGTGGAGAGCAGAGTAATACCTCGGTAATTTGAGCAGTCTGATTTATCTCCTTTCCTCTTGTACAAGGTGACGATGACAGCGTCACGAAGGTCTGAAGGTAGTTCACCTTGTTCCCAGCAGTGCACCACAAATTCATGAAACTTAGCATGGAGTGCTTGGCCACCGTACTTCCAGATTTCAGGTGGGATTCCGTCAACCCCAGCTGCCTTGCCGATTTTCACCTGCTGTATTGCTTTAAGAGTTTCTCCCATGGTGGGGGCAGTATCCAGTTCAGTTTTCATTGGTTGTTGTGAAATGAACTGCAATGCTGAGTCTTGAACCCAGCTAGTACTGAAGAGAGTCTGAAAGTGTTCAGACCATCGATTCAAAATGGAAACTTTAATTTAGGAATGAAAGGACAATAGCGGATGATACCTTTGCTCTTAACTCTGTGTCTCTCATCTAATAATCCAAAAAGAGTTCCTTGAAGCTCTTTCTTAGGGTATCATTCACAGTGCTTCACTGTCTCCTCACATAAATCTCCATAAAACAGCCAGTGAAAACAAGCACAACTCAAGGCAAAAAAATGGCTGTGGAACACATCCTTAAGCTCCTTATATGCTCCTCTTCTCTCAAATACAGAATAAAATTATTATATTTAATCTACATTTAGCTATGTGTACTATCTTCAAAAACTGGGAAGGCACACAAATATATGGGGTTTCAGAAAAGATGTTTAGTGCAACAGACACTCAGCTGGTGGGGCAGAGAAAGGGAGAGTCCTAAGTTCCTCTTCCTGCGGTGACAACTACTTATGCGGTTTTCATTATGATGTCTTGAGATGAAATAAAAAGCTTTACTAAACTCAAAGTCACGATACTCAGCATTAAACTCTGCCACACCACAAACCCTGCAATTCCCTTTTCCACGCAAAGGCAAATTTGACTGAAAAAAACTACCTCTCACTTGCTTCTTAGTGTGGAGACTGGTGTATTTTTTGCTAGTTAAGGGAGGGTGGGTTTGAGTGTTTTCAGGAAATTAATCTGGTGTCTCAGGTGGTAGCCACATTAGCAACCAGTAGAGCCTACCAGGAGCAGGTCTCTGCAGAGCAACAGAGTAGGCTGGTAGTGAGCACCTGATATCCACACTCACACATTTTGAGAGTTTTACTTCGGACCAACCCTGACTTGGTTCCCTGTTGTCCCCATGTCCTGCTGAACGCCATCTTTATCATAGATTCATCTGAAGGAAATACAGTTAATGTGCCTCAAGACTGCTCCACAGTGCAAATCACTGGGCAGTAATTCCTGACAACTAAAAGTTGCTCATCCTTTTTCGTTGACATTAAAAACCATTAGATAAAACATCTTAATTGTAAAAATGTAAACAAACAAAAACTCTGATGGTGCTGAAAGTGGCAGGGAAAAGTTTTTTTTTTCTCAAAAAAAAAGAAAAATAGCTTACCTGAGTCTGGAGTCTTTAAAGGTGTCTAAGTATGAAGGGTAGTTCCAAACAACATTACTCCCCTTACATCGCAGTTCTATGCTTTGTCCTGCAGACAGGGTTAAAGTGGCAGCCAGTTTCTGGAAACGACCTTTATCCATCACCTGTGTCAGTATGGACTGGGACTTCAAAGAGGAGTCAGCAGATTCTCTCTCCTTCATTTTGGGAGTTTTGGGTTTTACTTTTTTGTTAAAAACCTTGTTTTCCCCATGTTCTTTTGGATGCTTACTCTTTGCAGACTGTCCAATAACTAGTAAAATAAAGGAAATGTTAGTGATTAGAAAAAAGTTATAAAGTCTTTTTTGAAAAAAAAAAAAAAATCTTCCTTATTAGCACAGCAAATAACTGAAGTGGTTTTTGTTCTTCCCAGAAAAGATTCATAAAACTTAGTAAGAGTTAATTTTCATAAGTTTTTGAAGTCTCTGCCATGACCCATTTTCCTGGGGAAAAACAGGGAAAAAAAAGCTTTCAACAACATGTGGAAAATCTATACTTACAGTTACATAAGCAGACAAATATGTAAGGTATGAAAACTTTACAAATGGTAAGGGAAAGAAATGCAGCATTTCCATCTCTATTTACTTCTGTCATTTCTACCCCATGGCACTGCCATGCTGTACACAAGGCTACACAAGCTCTCTGTCTTTCATGTCACACACCCGCCAATTCTGCATTGCCTTTTCACACGCCATGCTACCACAGGGGACACATGAAGAAAAACTGGCAAGGATGGAACTTCTGGAAAATTTATAAAATACTGTTAGTGATGCGTTTTTCTTCTATTACAGTAAGTACTGTGAAATGCAAATGACACTAGAGTCACTTGAACGTAGCATTTAAGTCATCAGTTCTCCGTAACAGCCATTTATTTTGACAGTGCAGCTGAAAATAGAACTTTACTTAGACACAAACAGTAAGAGATTTCATTATCTCCAAGATACCACAGGGATGCCCAGCTGCCTTTAGAAACAAAGAAAAAGTGAGGTGTCTCAAATTTAAAAATAAATCATTTTAAAAAAACAAACAAAAACACCAAAACAAAAACCAACCAAACAAAAAAACAAACAAAACCAAAAAAAACCCACAAACTATCCCCACTTTAAGTGACATAAGAAAGCACAACTCTTTTGAGAGATGAGCCTAAAAGTACTGCCCCAGAAACCAGAAACTCCACTAACTGCACCTGACAGATAATATTTGTTTTCCACATGGAAATGCTCAGGTATTTTATTGTACAAATCAATCAACAAGCTCCTGCAGGAATTAAAAGCAGCCTGGCTGTATATACTCAGTTAGCACTAATTAAAAATGGTACTAGCTGCCAGTATGAGCAGCAGGACTTCCAGGTTCCAGCCACTGATGTCTCCCATGACAGTCCTCAAACCCCAGTTGGACATCTTGCACTGCTTCAGCCTCCCACTCCTCTAAATCCAGGCTGATATACATGCCTCTTTTAAATGGCACGGAACTTTGCGAGCACAAATTTAAAATCCAGGACATTCCAGCACTTCTTGCCTGCATTACATCAGAAAGGCTGCAGTAGATAAGGCCAAAATTATTTGCACTAACACCACCCAGTGTCAGATGCCAGCCAGGGAACAGGGCAACCACCTCTGCTCCTTTGATACTACTATCCTAAGCTTCCAAGAACCATGAGGTTAAGGGGTCTGTGAACCACAGCTGTCATCATTTTATTGTCCTTGGTTGTTACTATTATTTTGTATTTTCGTATTTTATTTTCCTTGGATGTTTTCCTTTGTTGATTTGTCTGGTCAATTTTCAAAATCACAAACTAAACATAAATATGAGATGCCTCCTAGTTTTTGTATTAAATTAATAAATATCCATTGTTTCTCCAACAACATTCTCTGAGGCACTTGTACTTTTACAAAACTTGAGTGTTTTTGAAACATATCCTTTCCAGACTGATATGTCCTACTCTATTTAACTATTCCTTGTGAAGAATATGCATCTAACAACAGTTCAGTTACACCACGTTTGGGTAACAGAAAGAACACAAAAGCAGATTGTACACTAGGTTCAAGACACAGTTAAACCACAGTTGTACATATTAATGGTGTCTTCCTGTATAAACAGCTTGTTAATTTTCAAGATAAGCAATATTAGGAGCTGACTTTCTTTAGAATAATCAAGTGTAACTCCAGATACACTCCCATAAGTAGGAATTACTTGTTAGAAATACATAAATAGAAACACATCAATTTGTATATGACTCATATCTAACCTAATCATACCTACCATCTATCAAAACAAAATTTCAAGTACTAGTTTCACTGCCCAGTCTTTCAAAATTGAGTATATCATAAAATCATGTCACTTAAACACTGTTTAGGTTGCTGATTTTCCCTAAAGCTGATTATTTTGTCATATTAATGAGACATCTCTAATGATTCTCACCATAGAGAAGCGTTCTGCCTCAGAGTCTGCAATTAAAGTGCTTGGCAGTGTTGCCTTAGAAGTTTTGATTTTTTTAATTTTTGTGTATTTTAGGAGTAGTTGTGTAGTGAATGTAGATTTTAACGCAGCTGCATTTTATCCCTTGGGCTTAACACAGTAGTTACACATAACCAACCCTGTTACCCAATTCCCATATCAATCTCCCTAAATTCCATCAGCCTGTTTAGTCTCATTTTCAAGGTAGAATTGTAGAGAACACCCTAAAATCTACGCAAGAAGATACAGACATAGATGCAACAACCTTCAAGACCAGAGCCTTGGAAAGCCTCCAAGAACTGCATATGCTTTGATGAAGATCAGGAAATTCTTCCAGTGTTTCTGCCATCTTACCAAAAAGGTTCTGAGGCACGTCCAGAACAAGCTGAAACTTTTCAGACACAGTCAGATCCTTTTTTGCATGTTTAATGGGTTGAGAAACTTCAGGCACAATGCTCCATGGTATTCTCCAACCCCTGGCTATGAGGTAAATTGCTAAAACTAAGAACATTGGAATGGCCTAGCCATGCCATACAGCATTCATGTAAACAATAAAGGTAATAGCGGAAGTGTAGATAGAATACCAGTCTGATAAGCAGAAAGATTCTTCACAAAATTAGTAACAGGTTTGGAGTTTTGGGAGTTTGGAGTCCTAAAAATCCCCCAGACTCAGTTCCTGAAGGGCATGTCTGGGGGCAGAACTGGACAGGGGGGGTGGCTGGATGGGACTGGATAGAAATCATTACAAAAACTGTAGCACTTGTGTTTGAGGAAGCGCCCATGAGTTTGTATTTCTGGAGCCCGGTAACTCATTAAAACCTCTGCTGTTTATCTTATCTCATACCTAATTTGTCCTGGAGTCTTTTTTTCCCTCTCTCAGCCTTTTAGGCAACCCCTGGTGGTCTAGTGGTACGGGCGTGGCGCTATCACCGCCGAGACCCGGGTTCGATTCCCGGTCAGGGCCACTCCCGGGCAGGTGGGGCTCGTTAGCCCTTAAAGGCAACCCACCTACGTCCTAAGGACCTCGCTGCCACCGTCCAAGCTCGCTTGGCCCCGGCAGATGAACCTTAGGATTAAAGGGTGGGCTCAGTTCCGCGCACACTGTGTCTCACCTAAAAAATCCAATGCGCAGGCTGGAAGGTGTAGAGACCTTCCCCGGATCTTCGCTCGCGAAGACTGGCCATTATTAATTAAGCATACTGCACTGAAAGTTTCTGCTGTGCTTATCATGTCACCATTTTCCATTGAAACCTCCTTAAGCACCTCCATAGTGAACACAGGTGCCTCACGAATAATTAAGTTTTTAAGTTTTACTTTCTATAGATGTTCTTTCGTATTCCCCATTCCTACTAGCCCTATAAAATCTGCAGCCACCTTTCTATACCCCACCCCAGTACATCAGAAGAAGAAAAGGATTTATGGCTGGGTTTGTCCCTTTTGCAAGCTGTTTCTCTTTTTGTCTGCTTAATATGATTTTTATATTTAACCCATACGTGAGTTCAGGAGCCTCCTCATCTTCTGTAATTCCCCCTTCCAAAATTAAATGCATCAGTCATTTCTTTGGCTTTTATCATTCCTGCAAGAATACTGAAACCATAGTCTGGTTGTACTGATTAGTCTGTACGATTCAGTAACATCTGAATCCAATTACCTGAATCAGCTCAAGAATTGCTGCTTTTCTCAGCAATTGCACTCTGCATCACACCCCGATGTGTAGTCCAGAGCACAATTCCTTGGCACGTAGTTATAAAAAAACATGGGCTGGAAAGGCCTTCTGGAAGTCCCATCCCGTCTCTGTTCAGTTGCTCTGTGCCTTGTCCAGTTGAGCTGCAACTTCCCCAAATGCTGGACACTCTCTAGCCTCCCAACAACTTCTTTCAGTGCTTAACAGCTGGCAGCGGCGTGCCAGCTCCCAAACCCACAAATGCCTCTCCCCAAACCCACACTTTGGCCAGAGAGCCCGGTCGGACCGCTGTTCGCACACGGTGCGAGCAGCCCGCTTTCTTCTCCCCCACTGCCCCTGAGGTAGCTCCCGCTCCTGTCCCCGGGACTGTCGGCGCGGGGGGACGACAGGAAAAAGGAGAGGCCGAGGCGACCCGCAGGGTGCTGGGGACGCGGCGGGGTGGGGGCTCACCGTGTGGCAGAGTCTCCTGCAGCAGCAGCAGCAGCAGCAGCAGCAAGCTGAGGGACCACCCAGGCTCCATGGCTGGAGCAACCGGCGAGAACAAAACTGAGGGCAAGGCTGTCCTGCGAGGGGGGCGGTGGTGGCAGCGGCGGGGGGGAGGAGGAGGCGGGCAGGCGGGCGGGGCTGGGGCTGCTGGAAGGACAATGAGCACTGTGCTGCCAGGCCGCGCCCATCTCACCAGCACCCCGCTCTCTTCGCTGAGGACCCCGTGTTCTGAGCAGAGCCTCGATCTCGGGGGCATCTGTGGAGCGTCCCTGCTCGCAGCGGCTCGGCCGTGACAGCCGCACTTACTTTTATTCTCTTGCTATACCTACAGTACCATCCAAAGTTGAGGAAGGTTTTGAGGTTGGTTTGTTTCAGGTTTTTGGGTGGGTTGGTGTTTTGTTTTTGTTGGGGGGGTTTTTTAGTGTTGATGTTGGTTTGCTTTTTCACCAAAAGGGAAAAAGGAGACAGCAGTGACTTGACTCATCCAGCTCTGAAGTTGGCTGGATACCAGGACAATGCTGCGTGCTTCAGAATGTTGAGCAGCATGAAAGCTGCTGAGTGTTTCTCACTTTCTCTGGAAATCCAAGCTTATATCATCTCTGGCTTGGTATTGTAACACAAGATGCCTAAATCAAAGGGTGTTATTCCCTATTTCAGTGAATTCTTCAGTGCTTTGAAGCAAAGCAGGAAACAGACATTGCTACCATCCTCATCTGCAGACCATCTCCCCATTTAAAAGTAAAATGTGGTTGTGCTTTCCCCTCTATAAAATGCATACAAGTTATCATGTATAACTCATAAAAATTATTGGATAGTGGATAACTATCCATAACTTAAAACTAGTGGATAACTATGACATATCATAGAACATTTATTTTAAATGTTCTATGATTTGTATTATGTCATGACATTAGATATCTGGCATGCTAATGATTTTAATTCACTATATTATTTTAGTGTTAACTAAAACCATAGTGGTGTTTAAAGTTACAGCTGTTGTATGAAGTACATACAAGTGATATTCAGCTTTATTTAAAAAATATGGAACAAATGCACAATTTTTATCTCACAAAGCACATTTTACAGTAAATGAAGAGCAATGTAATTTTCATCAGAATTTGGAACTAAAAATGTCACTGATAACAATTCTATTATAAAGTGGGGGAAAGCACCATATACTTAAATATAAGCATTTTTACATTCATAAAAATTCAAAATTTTTTTCATTTTGGCAGAGCACTTCAAAGAAATAAAAATCTGTAGTTTAAGTTGCATCATAATCATCCTATCAACATTTTAAAAGCTCAGCAGCATATCATATAGAAATAATCACTAGAATGTACATATGAACAAAAAGGAAAAGTTCAAATGGATATGAATACTAATGTTTTTTAAAGTGATGCACACATAGCTGTTTTTAAAGATATGAAACACATATTTTATGCTTTACTTTCTGGTAACACAAAAGAGAAAAGTCCTCCGAAACATTAAAATCCTCATATTCTGACTCCAACTAAACTTGGTGAAGCTGGAGTTTACCTGGCAAAAGGCACATGAAACATACAAAGACAACAGAATTTGTCCAAAAGACAATTAAAAAAAAAATATATATACATAGTTCTACATGTCAATGCACAGTAATCCTTCAACGTAGCTAATGTTAGGGAGTTTGATTTCTAAAATCAAATGGAAAAGAGATCAACACATGGTAAAGGCAATACATTTAGCTTTGAAAAAGTCCAACTATTAAAAATACAGAGGTCTTCAAAACATGTACCAGAAAGAAATACTAAAGGTACAGAAAATTAAAAACAAATACAAATATCCTATACCATATGAAATACCACCTGCTCTTTCTGTAAAATATATATTTTCTTAACACTGAGTAACCTCAGTGCTTTCAGTGAACATACTGCAATTTGTACAAACTTCCTAGCAAGTCTAGGAAGAATTAGGGCCCAAGAGCATTAAAAAGGTGCTTTTGTTTTCTTTTTTATGCACTCAAGTAACACATGCCAGCCTTCTCGTGAATTAAATTTCTATCGTAAAAAAATGCGCCTCAATGTCAAAGGCTTCATATCTGAATAAAATGATTGCACAGTCCCACACAGATTTCCTGCACTGTCAGGGATTTCACCATCTCAGGATGCTTATGGCACACTGATATTAGCACTTTTTAAAATTTCCATGAAAACACTATGCCTTATATTTCTTAAATATATATATCTGTGTGTATATATATATTTGCATAAATTTTAGGGGAAAGGTGGCTAGACTTGTATATTTATCATCCAATAAATAGAGAATATATATCTAAGCTTTACCAAGTTTTGCCTCTAAATTAATTTTATCATTTGAAGTTTTTGGATGACACAGTTAAATTCATATACATAAGTAACTCTGTATCGCTACTATTGACATTTACTGCTGATAGTTCTCCAACAGCAGGTAATATAAATGGCTTTAACACATGGAGACATTAACATATTACGGCAGATTTCAGGAATCTAATCAGCATTTGTTGTGAAGCAAAAAGCATACTTATTAAGAGAATAATTTCATCCATGGTAACAAACAATGAAATCTAAGTTACCTCATAAAACTTTCTATTGCAAAATTAGGACTGGAATAGCACAAGAAGATCATTTCAGATAACATGAATTATTCAGAAATGTTTTATAACTCTTACTCTCAGAACAAAAAAGCACATTTATTTGTGCTCTGTTAAATACAGTTTTGGCTTACTTTCTTAAATCCTACTAGGTAAAAATAATTCCTTTATCTAATGGCATATAGACACGGTACCAATGCAAATAAAGTTTTTGGAGGCGTTTTTTCTATATAGGAAAAACAATCCCAATAAGCTACCTCCAAAAATAGATATTTTGTATTAACAGATACCATTACTCTTTGCACAGAACAATTTACAATATCAACAACTGTGTTAGAAAATAACAACTATTTAGTTCCACTGGACTTGTGCTTCAGCTGCTCTCTCAGCAAGTACAGACATAGAGCAAATGTGAGAAAAAAATCAGGATTTGTTTCATCCATAGCTCATGTGTAAGGACTAGCATGGCATGTCCTTTGCTTCTGCAAAGTCCTGCTAAAGCATATGGAATTTCACGATTGCATATACAAATGCTTATCAAACTTACCATAAATATCTTACTTATGGCTTGTCTGTTTTTACTCAGTCGCTGACTAATAATGACTTTCACTATACATACATATAAAGAAGCTTTGCGCAGTTGAAGAAACCAGGAGTACCCAATGACTTTCCTTTAGTTCCATTTTATATCTTATTAGTTATGTGGGTAGTTCCCATGCTGCAGCTCCTTCCATCTCCCTTAGCAACATCTGTACAGGCACATTCTATTGTTTTTAAATAATTAATTTCTCTAAGGGGGGGGGGAGAAATAATCATACAAATGAAAGGGGACACTGTCAATACACAAACTACTGACACATCCATTAGGTAAATAATCTAGAAAATTTATTTCCTTTAGTTCTCTCCAGAGGCCTTTGCTAGCCTTCCTTTAGTCAGAAGTTTATTATATTGACAGTATCTTTTCAAAGGAAAATTCCAGTGCAATATAGAAATTACTTTAACTAGTTCATCAAAATCGCTATGGGCTAATGCCAGACAGGTGCAAATGCACAGACAGGTGTGCACACATATAGAATATATGATGGCCTTGGGAGGGAATGAAGTCTTTCTTGCACATCACAGAGCAGCAGCAGTTTGCACCTTGGGAGCCTGGCTGGCCTGCTCTGTGGCATCAACAGCCATAGGAAAAAATACATCTGTGGTTCCCACACACTGAAATGTGTAAAGAATTTTAAAAGAGCTGTGTTTCACTGTAGACTTGTAAAGACATTGTGCAAAAGCTTTACATGGGCACTGCTGACTTGCTCCTACAGCTGAGGATTTAAGACTGCTGAGAAAGAAGTAATTTTAAGATTAAAAAAAATGCTGTATTGCTCTGAAAAAAAAAAAAAAAAAAGCAGAAGACAGACAGAAGCAGCCTAACTAGTTTCAGTGGTTTTGGTTGTTTTTATTTTTTTTGAGGGGGGTTTGGTTGTTTTGTTCTTTTGGATATTGTTGTTGGTTGGTTGTGAAATTCCAGCTATTACAAGGTGCTTTTCACTGCCAACCAACATAGATCTCATGGCATCTAAAGTTTTTATACCTAGCAACGGAGATTAATACTAATGATTAGTACCAGCAACAGATTGCAACTCTGCATGACAAAGTCCAAGACAGTTCTTACTCTAGGGAAGCTGTTTTTGCAAATACAGTCTTGCAAAATGAGTTCATATTGTACAATCCTTCATGGGACTTGAGCCTACTACTTGCTGAGAAAAAGTGCCTTTGGGAGGTGACATGACTTATGTTGAAAGAGGAACAGTTTCTATTTTTACCAGCATTAAAATAATTATTCACCCAGCACTACCACAACAATTTTGTTTTTTACATAAATGAACATTTAGACATCATACCTACATGAATGGATTTGTGGATGTAGGTAGGCTTTGCTCACAAAAATGTGCTGACATATGTTTAAGGCTTAGTGAAGTGCTGAAATACTGTTCTGACAGGGTCTTTTTCCAAAGCTCATACCTCTGTTTTTTTAAACCTCCCCGTCCTTCTGAAAAGAAAGCTGGGATTTTGTGCAGTAAGTTTTCTGAGGAAAAGCCACATGTAACACCAATATCAGAAAAATCAGCTCTGGCATATGATAAAGGAGAAGAAAGTATTACTAAATGAGCAGTAAGGAGAAAAACTTGATGACTGCTGTCTGTAAGTGACAAGTCAGGGATAAATTCTGCCCTTCTGAAATCAAAAGCTAAATCACGTATGACTGCCACTGTCAATACTGTGACCAGCAGATTATGTCCCAGATGCTTTTGCAGAAAACAACATAGCTCCTCTTGAGAGTATTATTCTATACACACTTCTATACAGCACCTTTTAAAGAAAAGGCATTTACATAAGTAGAAACCTTCAATATTATTTGGAGGGACTAAAAACCTTTGAAGTATC